CCTTTCAGTAGACCAGGTTGCTCACCACAAGACCTTTTTGTTGTGCTGTTTTTCCTTATATGATATTTTTACTGTGATATTTCCATTGCTGCGTGGGTCAGAACACAGTAAGGAATGCTGAGTCTGGCTACTCACGTTTCAAACCTGAGAAGCATTCCTATTTCGTTCTGTGAAATGTAGCATCAGTTAATACCAAACAGGAATTGCTCTTGCTACCATTTAAGTTAATGGCACTGTGTTGTGTGGGGGTGGTTGTAGTTGTTCAGCTTTATTTTTGTCTTTTCCTTTCATTATGGATTTAGCAGCAAAATCTATCTTTGATGTATTGGATCGCAGGAAGAAAAACCTTGGTAAATGTTCTTCATTTGAGTTTAATTACATGGAAGCCTTCAGAGATGATTATACTAATTTACTAAACCCTAACATGTTGCTTGCAACTGCTCTATGTACCATGGGGCACACAGTCCTAATATGTAGTAGATTTCTCCCATTATGCTGGTTCGTTAATACTGCTCTTTACTATGAGGATTAAACATGAAATAATGAAGCGGAACGTGCTGCTGTTTGCTTCCTTCCACTGCAAACCCACCAGGTCCCAGTGGTTTGGTTCTCTCGGGAAAGGAGAGAGATTCTTTTCTGGTGTTTGGTTAATGTGCAGCAGGTTCCTTTGAAAAGCAAGGCTAAATCCATGAGGAAGCGGGAGAAGATGCCGCTGAGGAATGCGTGGGCCTGAAGCACTGCTGCTTCTGGGGCATTGGTTATGTGAAAACGCAAACCAGACTCGGGTGGTAGCAGGAGAATCTGACTTGTGTGGGAAGTAGTTGACTTCAGGAGCTGATCATCTTTCCTTACGGTTCTCCTGTTACTTGGGTAGCTCAAGCTGTGCCAGCACCTTGCTACCCTCACAGGGAAGAGCTTCTCTATCTCCCTTTTGATAGGGGTCTGTAGAGACAGGACAAGGGGAATGGCTTTAACCTTCCGGAGGGGAGATTAAGACGAGCTCTTATGCAGAAGCTCTTCCCTGTGAGGGTGCTGAGTGCCCAGAGGAGCTGTGGCTGCCCCATCCCTGGCAGTGTTCAAGGCCAGGTTGGACACAGGGACTTGGAGCAAGCTGCTCCAGTGGAAGGGGTCCCTGCCCGTGGCAGGGGGTTGGGACTGGAGGAGCTTTAAGGTCCCTTCCAACGCAAACCATTCTGTTATCTCAATTCATGTTTCATTCATGCTTTAATCTCCTTGGCTCGTGATGCTGTAGTTGTTCTTTTTGACGCTCTCTCACAACTTGCAGGCAACGACAGATGAAATTTTAGAGCATCAAGTAAGACACGTGCCACTATGGGCTCATCAGAGTACTCAGTGGATGAGCTGTGCTGCTGATTTGCTGTGTTGTTGTACACTAAGGGAACTTAGTGTACAACAGGAAGATAAATATTTATCAGGCACACTCTAAAGTCATGGTGTGAATCAGTACTGATAAAACATCTTGGGGCCTTTGCATGGAAGGTGCTACTTGAATGATCTCAGCAATAGTAGTACTACTTCAGTTCCTTCCTGCTCTTTGGGGGGACTGAGTATCTGAGCCTTTGGAAGCACTGGATATAGCTACTCTGAATCTTCTAGAATATTGCTATTTGTAGTAATTGCATCATAACTCATTAGAATCCATTCTGGATGATTCTGAGTATGGTACACTTCTGGCTCTGTTCCCCCAAATAAGTCTTGTCAAACCTATTTGAAATTCTAATGAGAGATTAGAATGGGAGATTCACTGTGAGGTGTCCCTGCCCATGGCAGGGGGCTTGGAACTGGGTGATCATAACGTCCTTTCTGTTCTATGATTCTATGAATGGGGTTTAAAAACTGAGTGTTCAGGGAGTGTTGGGAAGGGGGAAGTACTTCTGGAACAGACTCCCCCAGTGTGGAGCTCACTTGGGCTTTATCCTTCTGTACTCTCATTTTAGCCCCATTTGCCCAAGACCTGGGGAACCCTCCAAGGAATTTTCTTTCTGACTCCAGTTGAGAGTGAATTGTGCTTTTCTTATTCATTCTATCATCAAAGGTTTTGGTAGAAGATAGGAAGCTACAGGTAGAACAAACCTGTTCAGATAATACATTTTTTGTGTTATTTGAACGTACCATACCAGGTGCATTGAAACTGTATGGCAAAAAGCCCAAATGCAAAGTTTGGCTTTAAGGTTTAATGACATTATTATTTTGGTCATATTTTCTTTAGGCTGCTAGTTTCTCTCTGAAAGCAGGTTAATCAGGAGGCTTTGGGAACTGAGGAATGCTCTTCATGCCATGTGCTTGCTCTCCATGCTGATGGGTAGAGTGAGGGAATGCTGCAGTGCCAGTGCTGCAGCACAGAAAAGGGATTATAACTGAAGTGGTTGACAGGTACATGAGTAATTAAATGCTTTGGAGAGAAATAGCTCACCACAGGCTGAAGAAGGTCATTATAAAAAGGGGAGACTGAAGAGTAACCTACACATAACATGCACAGTTGGCTTGTGTAGTGTTTTGTTCATTGTGTGCATCTTGAATACTGTCATTACTCATCCCTTCTGATACCCTCAACACCACCCCCTCCATCAGCTCTGCTCAGTGTATCTAAATACAATGAGTACCTGGTTTTAGAATTGCTTTTCTAATCACACCCAGTCCTTTGCCCAACTGTTCATTTCCAGCTGGATTAATAAAATTGCCCTTTTCTGAAGATGCACATTGTAAACCCAAATATTCTGTAACAGACCATAATTAAATTACCGAAGAGCTACTGGAATGCTTTTACCTTTCGAGCTATTGTCACACATACTTCAGTGCTCCTTCTTTTGGTTGATTAGTATGAACAACAGGAGCCAGGGGAATGCAAGAGGGATTGAATATATGCATGCAGGCTGCCATTATTATGTTGAGTCCCTCTACAAAGCCCAAACAAACTAATTTTGTGCAGGGAATTAATTTAGATGAGTAGTTTCTGCCTGGTAGAGCCCCAGTTTCACCGGTGTGATTTGTACATGACCAGTAATAAACGTTTTCCTTTTGAGTGCTGCAGCTCTTCTCAACTTCATGAATTCCAAGTAATCTACTTGACATTGACCTGTACGAACAGTTCTGTTGTGTGTCTGTGAGGCTGTTTGATGGAAGGGTTTAAGGTGGCAAATTCTACTGAGAGTCTGGAAGTTTGGGTGAGCAGCAGTCGAGGGAGGGGATCCTGCCCCTCTGCTGTGCTCTGGGGAGACCCCCCCTGCAGCCCTGATCCAGCTCTGGGGCAGCAGCACAAGAGGGACGTGGAGCTGTTGGAGCGAGGCCAGAGGAGGCCATGGAGATGCTGTGAAGGCTGGAGCAGCTCTGCTCTGGAGCCAGGCTGAGAGAGCTGGGCTGGGGCAGCCTGGAGAAGAGAAGGCTCCTGAAGGGGAGACCTTAGAGCAGCTCCAGTGCCTAAAGGGGCTGCAGGAAAGCTGGAGAGGGGCTTGGGACAAGGGCCTGTAGGGCCAGGCCAAGGGGAATGGCTTGAACCTGCCCCAGGGGAGACTGAGCTGAGCTCTTAGGCAGAAGCTCTTCCCTGTGAGGGTGCTGAGGCGCTGGCACAGGGTGCCCAGAGAAGCTGTGGCTGCCCCATCCCTGGCAGTGTTCAAGGCCAGGTTGGACACAGGGGCTTGGAGCAAGCTGCTCCAGTGGAAAGGGTTGGAACTGGATGAGCTTTAAGGTCCTTTCCAACCCAGACCAGTCTGGGATTATTCACATAGAAGTCAAGCTTCTAGGAAGTAACTACTGCTTTATCTTTGACCTTTCTCAGTCTGTGCCCTCCTCTGCCCTTCACACATAACTCATCCCCTTCTGGGTCACTGTAACTCTCTCAGCAGGCAAATAGCACCAGATGGTAGATCCACAACTCATGGTACAGGAGTAGGTGTTGGGGAGCTTCCCCCTGCCCTGCTTGATCTTGCTGCAGTGTTCTTTGGATCCCACCATTCACTGCCTTGGACACTAAAAGCTACCTCCAAGGATTGCTTGGCTTTAGAAAAATTACTATTAATAAGTGAAACTGGAATGGGAATTGCAGGAGGAAGAGGAGGAGGACAGGGAGGGTATTAGAGATGGGGGGGAGCCACAAATCCCTCTCCTGGTTGAGGCTTCATGTTAAATCGCTGCATTAATAACATTACCTGATGTTCTCCTGTGCCAGTCTCTAGGGGTTGTTTTTAAGCCAATACTTCCTTTTCTGGAACATTTTTGTTTGGGCTAACTCTTGGTGTTCCAAAAATGTCTATTTTCACAATTCTATCCCATTGTGTTTGGAGCTGGCTCTGTCTTGTCTGCAGAAAGCTGTTATGGAGACATCAGGCATGGGATATTCTAGCAGAGAAGTTCCATTCCCACTTCAGAGCAGCTTCCTCTGTTACTCTGGGGAGGAGAATGTTCCAGCTGCCTTTCTAGGCAGGAGTGCAATGCAGCTTCAATTCCTGCCCTCAAAGGATGGCAAGTATTGCTGAATTGTAATGTAGAAGCCAACCTAGACTTGCTCTAAGGTGTTTACATAAGAACTAAAACCCTTTTGGTTTTAATGTAATAAATAAGTTTGCTGTTAACCCCCTATTTTAACAGCCACTGTTAATAAACCATTGGGACAAATGGCATGACCAGACTTGGATCAAAGTGATGGGTCTCTTTGGTATGTTGTGATTTACTTTGCACTGCACATGCATGGGTTGGGAATGAGAAATATGTTTCTGGCCCTCAGAAATGATTGGCTAATGTGCAGAAAAACATGATCCCCAAAAGCTGGATTTTGGGATCTAAAGTGGCAAAGAACATCCTTGTTTTAGTGAAGTTGTGGGACTCTGGATAGAATTCAAGTCACACGTTAAGGTAGACGTCCTGCCTTCAGCGATGAGGATGCCTTGAATATTTTATGTTTCATTGCCCTTGATTTAATATATGAATATATTGAAATATGAAAAAATTACTTTGGTTTTAAACCCATGTGTTATTTCTTTTAGCCCATTGGAACAACTCCACCGCATCATGGCTGGGAGGAGGAAGCCTTAAGCAGAAGCAGTAGTGAAACCCAGGTATCAGCTACCAGTGGGATGTCCCTGGGAGAAGCAATACGTCAGGAAACAGCCATTAAATGGGTATTTGCAGTGTGCTTTCTTTTTGCTTGTGGTTGAAAGATGGAAAATAATATGAAGTGCTTTATCTGTGTAAATTAGGCCTCCACTGTCCTTGCCCTGTAGAGGTGTGTAGTTCTGCATCTTGGAACTGCAGAGAAAGATTGATGTGAACTCTGGCAAGTCATCAGTCCAGTTGTCAAAAAGCTTTGCAGCAATTGGATCACATCTGGAGTGAGAGCAGCAGCTCAGGGAGGGGATCCTGCCCCTCTGCTGCGCTCTGGGGAGACCCCCCTGCAGCCCTGATCCAGCTCTGGAGCAGCAGCACAGGAGGAACGTGGAGCTGTTGGAATGAGGCCAGAGGAGGCCATGGAGATGCTGTGAGGGCTGGAGCAGCTCTGCTCTGGAGCCAGGCTGAGAGAGCTGGGCTGGGGCAGCCTGGAGAAGAGAAGGCTCTTGAAGGGGAGACCTCAGAGCAGCTCCAGTGCCTAAAGGGGCTGCAGGAAAGCTGGAGAGGGGCTTGGGACAAGGGCCTGTAGGGAAAGGCCAAGGGGAATGGCTTGAACCTGGCTGAGGAGATTATGTAATCCATTCTGTGATTCTGTGAAAACTGAATCCCCAGTAGTTCAATGATTGTTTTTTGTTATTTTTCTGTTTTCCGGCTGTAAACCTAGATATGCCCTAGTATAAACCTGGTGTAGTATTTTCATTACAACACTGTCTTTGAGCTGGTTTCCATTTGTAATTTGCTGTAACCCTGGTCCTGCTACTGCCTCTTAAGTTGTCAGATCTGTCTACTTCAAAATAGAATCACAGAATGGTTGGGTTGGAAAGGATCTTAAGATCATACAGTTCCAACCTCTAGTTTGGATGTTAGCACAGAGCCATGCTCTAGTCCATGTGAGATCTGACTCCTTTTAGACCTTGGTTTTAATGATGTGTTCAGTGTGTGATTAAGGAAAAGTGTACTTGCATCATAGATACAGTCATAGAATCATAGAATCAACTGTATTGCAAAAGACCTTTAAGATCATCAAGTCCAACCATAGTCACACTTCTGTCTGTTGGATGTGCTGCCAAGCATTTGTTTACGCAGAGAATCGCATAAGATCACAAGTGTTTTGAAACAACTGAATTGATAAAAACTTGTATTTCCAAATTGTTGTGGTTTAAGCCCAGTCAGCCATGCAGCTCACTCCCCCCTTCCCCCCCACCCCGCTCCTGAGGGGATGGGGAGGAGAATCGAAAGGATGTAACTCCCATGGGTTGAGATAAGAACAGCCCAGTAACTAAGGTATAACACAAACCACTGCTGCTACCACCAATAATAATGATAAGAGAAATAACAAGGGAAGAGAATACAACTGCTCACCACCTGCCACCCGATACCCAGCCTGACCCAGCAGTGATCAAGCCCTTCTGGGTAACTGCCTCCAGTTCTACATCCCGGGCATGACGTGCTGTGGTATGGAATACCCCTTTGGTCAGTTTGGGTCAGGTGTCCTGTCTCTGCTTCCTCCCGGCTTCCCCTCCTCCCTGGCACAGCATGAGACTCACAAAGCCCTTGGTCAGACTAAACGTTACTGAGCAGCAGCTAAAACCATCGGTGTTATCAGCGCTGCTCCCAGGCTGAAAGTCAAAACCACAGCACTGCACCAGCTGCTAAGGAGGAGAAAAATGACTGCTGCTGCTGAACCCAGGACACAAAATGATGAGAAGAATCTCGTGCAAAACATATAGTTCATATCAAGTTTCTCATGTGAAAAGTAACTTTTGGTAACTTAGTAGTGCTTTAAAAGGTAGAAGAGCTTGCAGCTATTAAGTAGTGATAGTGCTTTACTACTGTCAACTCACTGGGACGCTTTCTTGCTTATATTAACATATAATTATAGATACTGATAATAATGGGTTGTTTTATTGATCTTCGCAATTCTCTGCACTGAAGGCTGGTCTGTGCCTCTTCTGTAATTAAAGTTTAGCTGGTTTAATTACTTCCCAGTGATCCCAATGCTAATTCTTTAATGAATAATGTGAACCAAAGATGCTCCTTTCCATTTGAGCATGAACTGGAAGTCTTTCTTTAAATATACCAAAGAATTGGCTTGGGTTCTTGAGCACTGTGTGAACTCTGTATCCTGTAACTAGAAACTTCACTTAGAGACAAATCAAACTCTTCTGCATGTTAATCCCCATTTGTACAATGCAAACCATCTTTCCCAGTTAGTGTCTGGAACTCAATTGCCCCAGTATCCTGCTGAAGTGTTTGTCCTGGTCAAGATTTCTCTTTCTAAGTGGGAGATTTCATTCTGTTTTGGTACAAGTCATCTGCAGTGGCAGGATCTGGAACCTGTGTTTTGAAGGGATGGGAGGCTAGTGGTCAGTAGTGAGAACTGAGTCTGGACTTCAGCAGTTCATAGTGCATCATAATTCTTTTGCATTAAAATCTGAGTATATATGAAATAAAATATGATTTAGAAGCAGTAATTCCATTGTTTCACAGCTTCATCGTTTGGAAATATGTCTTATAAAGCTTTCTTCATGCCTGAGCACTTCTGTTTTCTCCTACCTGTCCTTAGGGAATTGAGTCATGGTATCGACTCCCTGCAGAAGTGGATGTCAGCCGATTAACTGCTGCCTCAGAGACCAAGCTTGGCCTGACTGGTGATAGACAAGACCTGACAGAGTTCCCTACCCTGGAGGAAGGAGTGTTGCCTTCAGCAGAAGCATCTAGAAGGCAGTCTCCTGGAGATGCAGCACATGGCTTACAACTGGGTATGGTCAAAGCTGCCTTGGTTTAACTGCTGAATGATTAGGATTTTACTTTCAAATCAGTCCCTGACCTGGATTTGACTTGTTTTAGTGAGAACTGGTGCTGACAAAACACATTCTGTGTAATTTGGGTTGGGGCAATCCCAGGCACAGCTACAGGTTGGGCAGAGGAGTGTTTCAGAGCAGCCTGAGGAGAAGGACTTGGGGGTGCTGGGTGGTGGGAAGCTCCCCATGACCTGGCTTCAGTGAGCACTTGAGCCCAGAGCTCCCTCTGTGTGCTGGGTGCACCCCCAGAGTGTGAGCAGCAGCTTAGGGAGGGGATCCTGCCCCTCTGCTGTGCTCTGGGGAGACCCCACCTGCAGCACTGTGTGCAGTTCTGGTGTCCCCAACATAAGAAGGATATGGAGCTGTTGGAGCAAGTCCAGAGGAGGCCATGAGGATGATCAGGGGCTGGAGCAGCTCCTGTATGGAGACAGGCTGAGAACACTGGGGCTGTTCAGCCTGGAGAAGCTGCGTGGAGACCTCAGAGCAGCTTCCAGTATCTTAAGGGGCCTACGAGGATACTGGAGAGGGACTCTTCATCAGGGTCTGTAGTGATAGGACAAGGGGTGATGGGTTCAAACTGAAACAGGGGAAGTTTAGATTGGATATAAGGAAGAAGGTCTTCCCTGTGCGGGTGCTGAGGCGCTGGCACAGGGTGCCCAGAGAAGCTGTGGCTGCCCCATCCCTGGCAGTGCTCAAGGCCAGGTTGGACACAGGGGCTTGGAGCAAGCTGCTCCAGTGGAAGGGGTCCCTGCCTGTGGCATGGGGTTGGAGCTGGAGGAGCTTTGAGGTCCCTTCCAACCCAAACCAATAAAGATGCCTTGATATTTGTCAAGGTTTGCATTTTAAATGCAACTGGAGTTAAAGAGAAAGCAGAAGGCTTTTTAATGCGATACAAAGATGTAAGAACTTTCTCTACTGCTGCTGTTTCATTTGTTGCTCTCTAGAGAGTGTGGCAATAGCTATGGGCTTTTTGTAGATGCTCTTAAAATTCCAGCTATGGGAGGCAAGGTGAGAGGGAAGGGAGAAACAGAAGCCATAATACTAATTTATTCCTTCTCCTCCTCAGAAAGTGTTTTGAATTTCATTTGGGGGGTGGAGGGGAGAGAATCATAATGACAGTTGTATCGGAATTGCTCCTGCTCCACTGTGGAACAGATTGACAAAGCCAAGAAGGTTTTGTTTTTGTTTTGCCTTCCTTTTTTATCTCCCACAAATGGCAGCTTGACTCTGGCATTCAGACTTGTCAGCAGGCTGGAAGATGAAGTAGCATGCCCAGCTTTGCTTGTGCAGGGAATTCAACTGTGAGGAAGCTTCTGACCTTCAGAGCGACAGCGGGAAGAGTCACTGTTTTGACACGAGATGCTCGAGGAGTGTTGTACTGACGTCACTTGCTGCTTTAAGCATCCAGCACCTGCTTCTCTGCCTGCAAAACTTGGGTTATGTCTGAGCAAAATGAGCCCCTAAATCATAGAAAGCATCCAGAATCTAATAGCCCTGATCTTTCTGCCTCCTGAATAAAAGAAGTTATGGGAAACATGAGTTTGCGTGCTGTAAGATTCAAAAAAGCCAGAGGATGTAGAGCATGTGATATGGCTGGAGTTACATTTTAGAGTGATAGAATCCCAGGCTGGTTTGTGTTGGAAGGGGCCTTAAAACTCATCCAGTTCCAAGCTCCTGCCATGGGCAGGGACCCCTTCCACTGGAGCAGCTTGCTCCAAGCCCCTGTGTCCAACCTGGCCTTGAACACTGCCAGGAATGGGGCAGCCACAGCTTCTCTGGGCACCCTGTGCCAGCCCCTCAGCACCCTCACAGGGAAGAGCTTCTGCCTAAGAGCTCAGCCCAGTCTCCCCTCGGGCAGGTTCAAGCCATTCCCCTTGGCCTGTCCCTACAGGCCCTTGTCCCAAGCCCCTCTCCAGCTTTCCTGCAGCCCCTTTAGGCACTGGAGCTGCTCTAAGGTCTCCTCAGGGCTGCTTCATCCAGTTTCCCCCAACCTGTGTTTGTGCCCTGACCCAGGGGCAGGACCTTACTGTTGGCCTTGTTGAACTCAGAAGGTTCACATGGTCGCACCTCTCCAGCCTGTCCAGGTCTCTCTGGAATTTTCTATATACAAAAAGACATGTTACCTATTTTAAATATATATACATTTGTTTTTCTAGTCCCTGTTAAGTGCTATCTATTGAATTCCACAAGGATGCTTTTTCAGGTCATCGTGGCGGAGGCAAGCTGGAAGAGAGGGTTTCCACTGAGGATGTGTCAGCAGTGAACCTTGACTATCCTCTTCCCTCCTTTTTTTTTCTGTTCCCTTTTTTCCTCACTCTTCTTTCCTGGCCTTGTCACTCATCTGCTGCTTCAAGGCAATGATTACACCCACAGTTCTCCAACTGGAAACCTCTGGGGAAGGCAGGGAACTGTGAGCCTGAGGCAGATTTGCATGGCAAAGCCAGAATGTTCTTTGGAGAAGCCAGGGGAGCAACCCTGCCTGGAGTGGAGGTTTGTCTCAGTCTATCTAATGAACTAAAATCTGCTACTGCAAGGAAGAGCCTGGCTTTTCCTTGTCCTGCAAACATGCTCGTGGTGCAGCCCCTCTGCTAAACCCACTGTGTGAATCAGTGCAATCAGATCAGCTTGCTGTTTATAGGATCCCAGACTGGTTTGGGTTGGATAAGACCTGAAGATCATCATTCAGTTCCAACCCCCAGCCATAGCCGGGGACACCTTCCGCTATGCTGTGATTCCAGGTGAGCCAGAGTGCCCTATGTGAATGATCTGTGCAGTGAGGCTGGCAAATATCAGCCTCATCCAGGTGTTTTCCCTGTAAGACCTCAGGGATTTCTCAAGTTTCCCATAGGGAAGAGCCAAGAGCATCCTTGAAGGGCCTCCCTAAATGCAGTGAGGATTTCCTGTTTATAATCCTACTTAAGGAATCATTTTTCATCTGGTTCAGTGCTGGGTTGACTTTCTTAACACAAATGCTGAGTGGTACTTAACGTGTTTGTTGATGCATCTTTAAAACATTGATTTATCAGCCAAGTGGCGTGACTTCCATTGTGTGTGTATATAAATGTGTGTATGCACATTTATTACATCAATGTATGTGTAGATGCATTAAATTCTTCAGCAAGATGTATTCTGGATAGCATTTGACAGCTTTGTTTCAATTACTTGTAGTTCCCTCCCTCAGTCTATTTTGTTTCTTCATTTACAAAGGCAGCACCCCCAGAATTACTGTGTGGAAAAGCTTTTCCTTTAATCACTCCTGATTTTAGTGTAGCTTTAAAGCACATTCTCATTCAGAGGGAAGAAGTTCAGCTGAAAACGAGGAAGTCTGATTTTTCCCCTTCTATTACATGAATACAAGTGAAATGCTGGTTCTGCAAACACAAAGTATAGCATGATGTGAGATGAAAAGTCTGATTTGATAACAGCCATTGCTGTTGCTTTTGTTCACTAATACCATTTGAACTGTAAAACCAGATTTGGGAGGGAAATAAAGTCCATCTACAACAGTTAGCATAGTTTAGGTCCAGCTTGCTTACTGCTTCTTAAAATACATGTTCATGCGTCTCTAATGCAATTCTTTATCCAGGATTGATCTACTTGCTATTTTCAAGTGAAACAACAAAGAATTATCTGAGTACACGCACACTGAACAAAGTAAATGCATTGGAAATTGTCTGTTCCCAGTGAGTAACTGGGAGTAAGGAATCAAACATGCAGCCTTGGTCTGGTTCTAAGTATCAGCCACTGGAAGCAACCCCCTTTCTGTCCTGTGAAGTACACCTGAAAGAACACTTGGATATAGCAGTGAATTAGATCAGTCTCTTCTTCCCTGATTTTAAATCATGAGTTCAGTTATGATTGAAATCACAGAAGTACCTAAGTCTGGTGCATTAGATCCCAATCTTGGTTGTACTCCACAATATAGCAGAGCCCTGAGGTGCTGTTATGTTATAAATGAGGTATCTCTGACCTTCTTCCTTATTTTCTTGGCTCCCTCTATGCTGATGCTGCCATTTTCTCTACTTTTTTTACACTTCCATGTATGTTACAGGTATTTTTTCATCCAGCTTTACACAGATGCTTATCAGTCTACACTTGAGCCTCTTCTGAATGGCTCCTCTTGTCAGAGAGTAGCTGTTTGTACCTATTTCTTTAGACATACAGTATTTCGTTTCCTATAAACTTCCAAGAAAGCAGGTGGCTTTTACTACTTTTCCCTCCTGTTTGGTATTGCAAATCCAGCCTGGTTTCTGTTGGAAGGGACCTTAAAGCTCCTCCAGCTCCAACCCCTGCCACGGGCAGGGACCCCTTCCACTGGAGCAGCTTGCTCCAAGCCCCTGTGTCCAACCTGGCCTTGAACACTGCCAGGGATGGGGCAGCCACAGCTTCTCTGGGCACCCTGTGCCAGCGCCTCAGCACCCTCACAGGGAAGAGCTTCTGCCTAAGAGCTCAGCTCAGTCTCCCCTCGGGCAGGTTCAAGCCATTCCCCTTGGCCTGTCCCTACAGGCCCTTGTCCCAAGCCCCTCTCCAGCTTTCCTGCAGCCCCTTTAGGCACTGGAGCTGCTCTAAGGTCTCCCCTTCAGGAGCCTTCTCTTCTCCAGGCTGCCCCAGCCCAGCTCTCTCAGCCTGGCTCCAGAGCAGAGCTGCTCCAGCCCTCGCAGCATCTCCATGGCCTCCTCTGGCCTCGCTCCAACAGCTCCACGTCCCTCTTGTGCTGCTGCCCCAGAGCTGGATCAGGGCTGCAGGGGGGGTCTCCCTGGAGCACAGCAGAGGGGCAGGATCCCCTCCCTGAGCTGCTGCTCATTCTCTGGGGGTGCACCCAGCACACAGGGGGGCTCTGGGCTGGTTAAGATGAAAGTACAGTGCAGTGGTGGCTGGTGCAGGGCATTTATCTGGTAAACCGGGGGCAGAGTTTGCCTTTAAAGGGGTGCTGGATAAACAAAGACTCCTCACTTCAGTTGCTGTAGCATGTTTGTGCCATCTGTACTACAGATGCTTCCTCTAGGATGCGTTAAGTTGACCATGTGGTGGAGACAGATGCTAGGGTAGAAGGGGATCTCTGAAACTCTTCAGCAGTCCTACTATTACTCTTCTAGCTGCTGCTAAGGTGGGAGTAGGGGACATCCAGATTTTGAGCCATGTTTGCTGTGTGATATAGGATTATTCCTATCTATATAATTATTCTCTCACAACATAGTGATCTAAAGTCATTATGAAAATGTTCATTGGAGATATTAAATTAAAAGTGAATCAGATACGTTGTCTTATGGTTGGGTACCACTCATCAGGTGATGTAATAGAGGCTGTAGAAAGCCTCAGGGTGAAGTTGATGTGATGTAAACTTGATTTTTGTATGTAATAGTCTTATCTGATGTGATTATGGCTCTGTAAGTGATGCAGAGTATGGCTGGTCTGAGATGCTTGAAAAATAATGAACCTAAGTTAAATGAATGGAGATTCTGGTTCTCAAAAACATATTCTTGACCACAAATAACTTGTTTTGCTTTATGAAAAAAGCTTAGTTAATAAAGTATTGGTGGTTTCTTCTGCATCCATGAAATGTGCATGTGGGCATTTACACTGATCAGATCCCAGTTTATAGTTGCTTTTATTCTTGTGGTATAAAACACTTCCATTTGTAAGCAGTGAACTGAAAGTGCCAGCTCCCTCCAGGCACAAGGGAATATGATAGAAACAAAGATTTATTGCTGGTGTGGTATTATTGTAATGGTGATGACTGGGTTTTACTACTTATATCTTGAAACCCTAAAGAAAAAAACATATGCAGCTTTTGCTATAATCAGAATCCATGGAAAAATGGAGACTGGAAAAGGCATTAATGGGCATTCTTGGTTTTTAAAGCAGTGATCGGGGTAGAAGCCCTGTGGATGTACAGTTTGCATGGAAATCCCCAGGGAAGTGAGTGGAGAAGGACAGGGATGTGCACAAGGAGAAGTTTAAGGTTAAGAGAGTGAGTTGGAGATGTCAGTTTGAGACTAACAGGAAGGAACCTGAATTTGGTAAGAAAGCTGGATTTCATCTAGGAGGGAACATGCCTCAGCAGGGGATTTAAGTGATGGGATTACATCATTTTCACTGCAGTTGGCACGGATTTGGGTTTTGAAGGCTGGATTAGTTGGCAGAGCAGTTTAAAGAGGGATTGCCTGACAAGCTTTTATTGCTGTGCTCTTCTTGTTTTGAACAGATACTCCGGGCACTCAGTTCTCTCCCTGTCTTCCACGGCTGACGTATTTAACACAAGGCCAAAGAGTTTCAGGTGTGACACTTCTCCAGCAATCAGAGATGGATTTTATTCCCTTAAGGTAGGATAAAGTTACCTGGTGTCATGCTAAACACAAACCTTATTCCCTCAGTGGCCATAAAGTTTCCTACACTTGATAAATGATGACAGTTTTATGGTTACACAAATAAGACAAACGTGGTTTACCCTTTGTGTAGAGAGGAGGCATTGTCAGACTTCAACTCGTCATCTTCTTTTGCCTTCAAGAGAGTTTGAACAAGGGAAAACTGGAACTTGTCATCCTAAAGCACCTGATGAACATGGGAGAATGAGGAGCTCCACCCTCAACAGCATCTCTTCAGGCTCTGATATAAACTTCATCACATCTTGCACACAAAAATCAGATACAACTTGTATTTATGACTGTAAATATATGTAATAATGTTGTGCTTTCTATATACCAGAGTAATTGATGTGATGTGAAATTGAAAATACATCCTTTTATATAAAATATGAATACATAAAGAAATAGCACTATCACTAAAAGTCTTTATCCAAACCTTCACTTCAACGTGTGACAAATGATTCCTTTTGTGCAAGAAATCCTCTGCCTTTTATGAAAAAGAGGAAGAAAGGAATATACCTGTATAAACACACAGATTTCCAGTGTCATTGATGTTTAGGCTTCCTTCTATTGTACTTTGGGCTGTGACAGGAGACTGGTTTGGTTCCTGAAGTCATACACTGTGACTTCACTTTGTGCATCAAAACTTGGTTCTACCAGAGCTGGTGATCTACTTGCATGGAGAAATACCAGTTTGTGTTTGATGTTCCTTTTCATATAACCATTAGTTCAAAATCCACAATAGAAATAGTAGAAGTCTGTGTGCCCCCAAGGCCTGGCTTGTTTTATATCCTTCAAAGAAATAATCGATACAATGAAACTGAAGGAGGTGATTTATATTAAAGAGAAATTGCACATAAACTTTTATCTGTGTGAGGAACTCCTGTGATTTATATAGTTGATAAACATCCTGTTAAACTTCAGTCCTCAGTGGGTTGAAACTATTAATGTACTGAGTAGAAACTAATGTTATTTTCAAACCTTTGTTTTATATGGCAGCAGAGCTTCTGGATATTGTTTGGACTCTCTTTATGTTCCTTCCCATTTCAGCCTGTTGAGGAGATGTGTTTCTATGTGTGTTGCTAAAGCCCAGTTATTCCAGTGACTTTTGCCTCATATTAAAACAGAGAATGTGGATGTTGAAGTGAAAAATACGATCAGAAATTCACTTGCTTTTCTTGCCTCTTGCAGAGGAGTCCCTGATGTTTCTGGTGTGTCTGAGGAGCATTTAAAGCCTTCCTACGTCCGTGAAGCTCTGTCACTGATGGACACAGAATCCCCCTCCAATGCACCCAGTGACTGCTTTCCTCTATCACAGCATCCTCTTCCACTTGAACACATGGAGCCTCATGATGCCAGTCTTGGTGGTGGTTTGGCTCAGGAAGCCTCTTCTGGGCAACCACCTGTGAGCAAGGAGGCAGATGAAGACTTTAAACCTGGTACTCATGAGGAGGCATTGATCCCCCAAACAAGTGCCAGTTTAGCAAACTCTACTTCCAAGGTGATGCCAACAGAGGCAAATAGACTGCACCAAATGGCAGCTTCTCTTGCAGAGCAGATCTGTAGTATCTCTGTAAAAGATGAACGTTTCTCCCGTGACAGCAGTGTAGCAGCTATTGGTTCAGAGCTTGCAGAGAAAGAGAAAGGGTTACTGAGGAATAATGAGTTCTCATCTTCAGAAAGCTCCTCTTGTAAAACAGCACTGACAAAGGACTCGGAAAAGAATGAAGGAGAGATGCAAAAGGAAGAGGTAAAAAGGGCTGAGAGTGAGTCAGAAGGGTGCATGAGGCAGCTGCACAAAGAGGAGAAGGTTCCTGAGCTGAATTCATCTATTAATTTATCTGATGATGTGAGGAAAGACAGTTGTAAAAATTCAGATGCTCAACATGTTTGTTCTGCAAAGGCTTCTGAACCAGGCAAAGGAATGTCAAAGCAACATGGAGTGGATTTAAATGGCTCTGAAAGCTTGAAATTAGTGGCTGTTACTGAGGAGCAACAGGGAGCTTTCCTAGATCATCAGCAGAAGCAACCATCTCCTGCAGTGAGGTTTGAGAAAGAGGAGTTTATCCCTGTTGTGACAAACACCAGTGATTGTGCACCTAAAGAACTGGTTGTGACTGACACGGGAGCTCCTTCCCCATTCAGTGAGGATGCCTCAGTGGAAGCAGAACCTGGAGGAAGCAGGAGTGCATTAACTATCTCAGACTTCTCCATAGAAAGGGGCCATAAAGTAACAGGCATTTCCCCTTCCTTTAACCTTGTGAGTGATGGCTCATTCTCTGTCCACCTTCCTCATCCAAGCTATCAATCTACTCCAGGGATACTTCTAAAGAAAAAAATGAAGGCAGAACTTGGTGCCCTTATGATCAAATCAGATGTTCAGGCTTCTTCTTCCTGCTTAAATGAAGAAACTTCCTCTGCTGTCGCACCTGCATCTGATGAGAAGCAACAGTCCCTCCAGTGTGCTCAGAAAGCAAGCAGTGAACATTTGGAGTCCTTAAAACTGACACATCCCCGCACTGGAAGGATTCAGGCTCTCCCACAACTTAGTTTCATGGAGAAGGTAGGGGCTTGGAATATGAGCCAGCCAGAGGAAGCATCTGATGTGGTGACTTCATGTGAAGTTTCTCCATGTGGAATTTCTCCCAGGAGAGCTGCTAGTTCTTCAAACAAGATGTTATCAATGCAACAAAGTGATGGAGACCCCAAAGATGATGTTGCTGCTTCCTCCAGAGTGACAGGTTCCTTGGAAAGTTTGCATTTCCACACTAAAAACTTCCTCCTTGCTTACCCTCTCACCAGGTCTCAGTCTGACAGCACAGTAAATGTTTCCAGTAAGAATGCATCCTTGGTTGAAGTCCCTCTTCCAGCAGACACCACAGAGGCAGTGCAGCCTCTAGAAGACAAAAGTAATGTTTCAGGAGTGTCTGAAAACAGTTTAGGAGGCTCCATGATCCAGAAGATTACAGCTGCCATGGTTGCTGGATCTAGCAGTAAAGATGCACAAGATAACAGTACAGGACAAAGCTCAGACCTGGATGTTCTTGTTTCCAGTGAAGGAGTTGCTCAGCTCCTTAGAGACGTTGGTAACTCTTCAACTGATGACCAGAAGAACTGTGATGCTGTGGAAAATCAGTTTCACAACTTCAGTATTCCTGCTGGCCATGTCAGTGTGCAAACTTTGGGTGATATTTCCCCTGATAGCTTGAATCTTCCCATTAGTTCTGGGGAAGGTAGACCCAGGGGCTTGGGCTCTGCAAGGGGCTCTTCAGGGGGTTCCAGGCCCTTCTTCACCAGTGCAGAAAATAACTTCATCCCTGTTGAAGCAACTTTGGAAACTCCTGAGGAAGAAGAGCTTAATATTGAGGAAAGGATCCCAGTAAGTTGGTTCCTAAGAGAGAATTGTAACTCTTCTTTGCCTTTTGATTGTGAAGAGATCAGCATGCATTTGGCTGTCATAAAGTAGAACACAAGTGTAGAGGTATCACAGGAACGAGACACAAGCTTACTTATATATAGTTTCTGGTACTCATCAGGTTAGGAGCTTGTCATGCCATAGTTCATAGAGCCATGGTTTGTGTTGGAAGGGACCTTAAAGCTCATCCAGTTCTACCCCCATCCCACTAGAGCAGGTTGCTCCAAGCCCTATCCAACCTGGCATAATGCAGGAGAAACGTAAAGATTGGTGGTGGATGGTGATGGAACACGAAGGACACAAGAACAGGACATGATCGAAAGTGCAATCTTTTTGATGAAACTCATACAGGAATTGGTTATGACTCTTTTAGCACAGCATTGATAAGCAATTTCTGGTCTTCCAGAGTCTTTCCAAAGATCCAGGTTATAATTATCCAGCCATGAGGTTGAGGCTCAACTGCTGACTAGGGAAACACTGGGCTGCAGGAGAGCTGAACTTCACCCACCCACGATCTGCAGTAATAGCAAACCCACCACAGGATCCTGGCAAATCAAACTGCCTTTTTCTTCTATAAATACTCCCTTTGCATGTTCACTTTGTTCCTGTATCCAAGGCATAAATTCCTGATCCTTTATATGTTGCTCAGAAAGGCTTTTGGAAGCCTCTGAATCCATTTTCTCCTTTAAATCTCACTTAATGAAGATTCCTTCCCTCCTTTTCCCGTTTCAGGCTGGTTGCTGGATTGGAGGCCAGGTTCTGGGAACCATGTGAACTGTGCTAATGGGTGCTGAGTGTTAGGGAAAATGAGATGCAGATTTATGTTAATGATAAACATGTAATTATCTTCTGAGTAAGTGGCTGTTCCTCTCACAAGATGACTCCTGTAATGATGAGGGCTTTGGAGCTGGGGTTTAGAGCACTCTTCACTGGGTTGTCTGGGCAAATGCATTGTGAAACAAACATAAATATTGTAGGGAGGATGTTGTGACGTGGATGAGATGTAAAGGTTGTCTGTTACCTTCTTTTATGACGATAATCAGGCCTCTTCTCCAGCACTAGATCTGAGGAATTCTGCTCTTAGAAATCACTGACCAGGTAAAGGAGATTGGGTCAACTGTATGGCTGTTATATGTAGGGTGTTTTAAATAGTAAGCAATGAGACCACACTGAGGATGCTCAGGGGCTGGAGCACCTCCTGTATGGAGACCGGCTGAGAACATTGGGGCTGTTCAGCCTGGAGAAGAGAAGCTGCGTGGAGGCCTGAGAGCAGCTTCCAGTATCTGATGGGGGCTACAAGGATGCTGGAGAGGGATTCTTCATCAGGGACTGTAGGGACAGGACAAGGTGTGATGGGTTCAAACTGAAACGTGACCTTCAGGTTGGAGATAAGGCAGAAGCTCTTCCCTGTGAGGGTGCTGAGGCGCTGGCATAGGGTGCCCAGAGAAGCTGTGGCTGCCCCATCCCTGGCAGTGTTCAAGGCCAGGTTGAACACAGGGGCTTGGAGCAAGCTGCTCCAGTGGAAGGGGTCTCTGTCTGTGGCAGGGGTTGGAACTGGAGGAGCTTTAAGCTCCCTTCAACCCAAACCAGGCAGGGATTCTGTAATGTTTTCTGTGCAACCATTATTTGGGAGGAAGAAGGTTTTTAAATCAAACGTTTGTGTTCTCCTTCCAGATGATAAATGTTATTTTAAAGAGGTGAGGCTGAAGTTTATCAGCCTCCTCTGAAGTATCAGATCTCCTGCTTACGCAGTGTATGGAGCACCTGAGTAAAAAGACTAGAAGCAGTTGGCTGTTGTCACAAGAACAAGATACGTGACCTCTTCTTTGTCAACCTTTTCCATCCTTTCTGGATCCTGTGGAAAAGGCTGGGCACTGGTTTGGTGGCATCAGGCTGCTGCCAGTGTCCATCTTTGGCATGTGCTGAAGGAAAGGTCAGGAAAGAGCTGTTGGTGAGTGCAAGCACAAGCTATCCCAGTCAGAGTAGTTCTTACAACTTAGGGTGAATTGCTTCCAATCAGAACTGAATGAGGAATAGGTACATCAGTTGTCTGCTGGGCTGCACATGGCCTGTGAGGTGTCTGCTAGATAGACTTAGTCATATTAGGTAGAAAACAGGCAAGTTGTTTGCATTTATGATGGTGCAGAAAATATGCACCTTCAGAATCTGGTTTTCTGTAAGAGTGCCATTATCTCACTTATTTCTTCTTCTGCCAGATTTATCTTCACAACCTTGGCATTGATCAGTCACCTGGAACCATACTGAGGCCATTTGTGCCCCGAGGACCCATCAGGGAAGTTGAATTTTCCCCTTCAGAGCTTAGAACACTGAAGGACTCCACTGACACACTGGCATGGTCTGCTCCACAGCCACAAGGTATGGGGAAGGAGGGACTTTGTGTTGTGCAAGGCTTTGAGAGCACAGGACTTCAGGCTCACCCGTGTCAGGTGTGTTTCTTCCTGTGTGATGCTCTCTTTCATTCGTACGAGTTGAGCTGCTCCCATCTTGCATGTTGACGTTGGAAAAAGGAAGCCTTAAAAGCATGGAAAACGCACCTGCTCTCTAAGGACTCAAGGCTCTGGCATCTTCCAGCAGTGCACTGACATTTCATCATGTTTTATCTTTATTTCTCTTTTATAAGAGTTCTTAAGAAGGAAAGGATTTTTCTCCAGCCCTCGCAGCATCTCCATGGCCTCCTCTGGCCTCGCTCCAACAGCTCCATGTCCCTCTTGTGCTCCTGCCCCAGAGCTGGATCAGGGCTGCAGGGGGGGTCTCCCCAGGGCACAGCAGAGGGGCAGGATCCCCTCCCTGAGCTGCTGCTCACGCTCTGGGGGTGCACCCAGCATGCAGGAGTGTTCTGGGCTCAAGCACTCACTGAAGCTGGGTCATGGGGAGCTCCCTAACCAGTAATGGGAAGGAAGCTTGTCCATAGCATGTCCTTTGCCTGTTTTTAGAAGGATATATTTAAAATGCTGCTTTTTTTAATACAAATGCTCATTTGGACATTCAGGCACCACTGTGTCGTGTACCTAAGAGTGTGTATTTGAAATTTAGTCTAAGCATGTATTTAAAAGCAGGTTATTCAAGTCAAGTTCTGTAGTTTCCTTGATATTTATCCCAGGTGGTTTGAGAGATTTTCAGTAGCTAGTTCTCATGGAAGTCTTAGTTCATGTCTCATTCCAAAACCAATTTCCTAAGTGTTTTCCAGTATGTGGATTCTTCCCTCCCTTTACCATCCCTCCAGTGCAAGAAAAAGTCTTTCCTGATGCAACTGTTTCTGGAGCCCCAACCTTATTGACTCTTCTGGTTCTCTGCAGGTGAATTGCTGTCAGCAGCTGAAATCACTCAGACAAGTTTCAACTTTGACACCTCCGCTCTCAGTGTGTCTGTACCAGCGCATCCAGAGGTTTTCTTTGACACTCTGTCACCCCATGAACTCTCTCCCTGCTTCTCAGGGTCTCTTGGAGACAACCCAGTGAGTCAGTGCAGTGGTTCATGCCATCATCTGGAGACAACAGCTCCCGAGGCAGAGTCTTCAGCTGTCTCCAAAGCAGCAGAAGCAAAGCAGGAGCTGCAGAGTGTTTCACCTCACTGCCATGCTGACAGGGAGAGTCCCAGCCTTGCTGCCAAGAGCATTCAGGATCTGCTAGCTAAAAATGAGCCCAAAGATGCAAACAGCAGCCCGCAGAGATGGGCTGCCGGTGCTTTGGCTGCAGTTAGAGGTGAAGTGGAAGCTGACAGAGGATCACAAACATCAAGTGTAGGTAATAAGAGAAATAAGGATCAAGAAGGTTGTCCTTTGATGGGATCGGCTGCATTTCAAGAAATACGGAAGCTTTTGGCAGAGGCAGAGGATATAGCTGGCAGGTGGAGTGAGCCTGTCTTCTCCATTGCCTCTTGTAGAGAAACTGGTGAGTCTTCCCCAGTGCTCAATAGAAAGGAGGATGGCTCTGAAGATTCTAGGATAGGGAAAGACAGAATCCCTGAGTTCCACAAGATACTGTCGCAGGATGAGGCTGTGACCCAAAGAAGTAGTCAAGAAGAGGGGTTGGTAATAAACCCTCTGCATTATAACACATGCAGGTTAAGATGGGAGAACAATTTTGATGCCAGTTTGCACAGTAGTGAAGAGGCGATGAAGGAAATGACCACAATGCTTAAGACAGGAAAATCTGTAGGAAGATCAGAGCCAGAAGGCTGTAGCAGTGTAACTACAGACAGAAACCAGCCTGGGTTTGTGGGTCTTGCACAAAGCAGTGGAAGCAGTGAAGACAGCACTGGAACAACTCCAGAATCAGGGAATCCTTCTTCCTCAGAGCCCCCAGGCAGTGTCACTGATGCCCCAGGAGGATTCCAGAGCACCTTGTCTAATGCTGGTGTAGCTGGAAGCAAGGCAGGAGGCACACGAGGGAGTGAGGACAGCAGCAGTGGAGATTCACTAGCTGCCCGTGTCAGAAACCTCCTGATGAGGAATCCTCATTCCTCGGAGCCTTTAGGCAGCACCACCAATGTCCCAGGAGGCTTCCAGAGCATGTTGTATAGTGCTGGTACAACTGGAAGCAAGACAGGAGGCCTGAGGGAGAGTGCCAACAGCAGCAGTGGAGATTCCCTAGCTGCCCGTGTCAAAAACCTCCTGAGGAATGGATCATCTCTGACACAAGTTGTGACGAGCTCAGATGAAGAGGAGAGGAAAGCACGAGGTAACAAAACGTCTCAGTTGTGTTTCATCAAGTGTTATGTTAGAGTGGCACCATCTTTAGTTAGGTACCTGTGGAAGGGATGGCTTTAAAGTGGTGCCCAGAGAAGCTGTGGCTGCCCCATCCCTGGCAGTGTTCAAGGCCAGGTTGGACACAGGGGCTTGGAGCAAGCTGCTCCAGTGGAAGGGGTCCCTGCTTGTGGCAGGGGTTGGAGCTGGAGGAGCTTTAAGGTCCCTTCCAACCCAAATCACTTTGTGAGACAGTGATGTATTTGAAGCGAAGGGCTGTGGATGTAAGACAACCTGAATCTGTTCCCCTGATTTTAGATGTACTTAGATTACATTTATTAATGATAAATTTAAAGGGACAGGGCTTAAATGATCAATGTTTTATAGTCATCTTGTGTAGTATGATGGAATTGGGGTAGGAGTGAACTTCTCCAGTTTGAATGCCTTCTTTTGCCTGACATTGGTGCAAAAGTATTTTGTCCACATAGGTATCATCCATGTGCTATGTTATGGATTTGGGAAGGGACTGTGTGATAGAGTGGTGACTGGAGTCGAACACTATAAAGAGGATGGAACCAGGTGTTGGATCCTGGATCCATCTTTCCAAAGAAATATTCAACAGACCCATTTGAAATTGTATCCCTGGTCAGTCCATGAGCTCTGGTATTTGAGTAGTTTTTGTTCCCTCAGTCACGCTAGCTACAAACACATAGCAAAGTTTGGATTTTAAGGTATAGAACTGTTACCATACGTGATGTGACAGAATGGAAAGGGAATGGTTTCTGTTTCCTGTTCTTTGTGTAGCCTGGGTGAAGGTAAAACTGGCCAGTCGATCCCAGGAGTCCGTGTCAGACCTGAACCAAGAGGACCAACGAAGGATCCAGGAAATAAAGGCTGAGCTGCTTCGGAGTGCCAGGAAATCTGCACGTGCCAAGGTACAAGCCAGCTGCTCTGGGGAAAACAGTTGGAGTGGGGGATAAATGCTGCTGTCTTGATGTGATCTTAAAATGATGAGTTATGTTCCTGCAGTACTTTGGAGGATTGGTGTCTACAGAGGGAGGGGGGGATGTGAACACTGAGAGCTGTGGTTAGTGGAGCTGCTTGTTTTGGCTTAGCCAGTTCCTATGTATGTTTTAGGACCAGCCATGGCACATGTTTTCCCCCAGCTGATAGTTGGGTATCTTGGGTGAGTGGGGTGGTTTGAGATGTTGGAGGGTGACACACAACTAAGATGTTCTGAAAGACGCTGTGAAGGACAGAGATGTGTTCAGGGATGGAGCGAGGCCAGAGGAGGCCATGGAGATGCTGCGAGGGCTGGAGCAGCTCTGCTCTGGAGCCAGGCTGAGAGAGCTGGGCTGGGGCAACCTGGAGAAGAGAAGGCTCCTGAAGGGGAGACCTTAGAGCAGCTCCAGTGCCTAAAGGGGCTGCAGGAAAGCTGGAGAGGGGCTTGGGACAAGGGCCTGTAGGGACAGGCCAAGGGGAATGGCTTGAACCTGCCCGAGGGGAGACTGAGCTGAGCTCTTAGGCAGAAGCTCTTCCCTGTGAGGGTGCTGAGGCGCTGGCACAGGGTGCCCAGAGAAGCTGTGGCTGCCCCATCCCTGGCAGTGTTCAAGGCCAGGTTGGACACAGGGGCTTGGAGCAAGGTGCTCCAGTGGAAGGGGTCCCTGCCCATGGCAGGGGTTGGAGCTGGATGAGCATTAAGGTCCCTTCCAATCCAAACCTCTCTGGGATGCTTTGATGATGTGATGGGACCATGGCTGTTACTGAGGTTAGAAGGTGCACACAGCTCATTGTTCTTAGCAGGTCCGCATCCTTCCTTCTGAAATGAAGAACAGTGTTTTAAGAGCAGTCTATTTGTGTTCATAGTTTCTTGGGCATGGACTGTCTTGGTCATAGAGACATCAGCTTCCAAAAACCATCAGACCAAACTGCTCAATTACTCGCAATTTGATGTAATATTTGCCTGGGAAGCAGGAAAAACCCATATTTCAACAATTCCATTTAGTTTCAGAAATTCAGACAAATAGAAAACCAAATCAGAAATGCACTTTTGCTTCTATCTCCTTTTCAAAAACTAGAGGCCTGAAGCCCTTTTTCCTCCCCAGCTTTTGTTAGATCACAGCTTTGTCCCCTACATGAACTTATGACTGATGAACCAAGTGTTTTACCTTCATGTGAGTGGGTCAAATATGAATTACTTTATCCCAAACGAGAATAAGCAAATACCAATCACAGTTTTGGAAACCAACATTCCAAGAAATTGCTTTAAGTCAACCGCAACAGTCTCTGGTTTGAGCTTGGAGATGCATTTGCTTTGCAAAGGCTTTGAGTTGAAGAGTGGGGTTGAATTTGCAGCATGAAGGTCAATGGGGTGTTTTTTGGTAGACTTCAGCTAAATGCATTTTTTCCCCTCTCTTTTTCCTCTCTTTTCCTGTGTTTTCAGTTTCCTCTCAAGCAAAAGAACACATCACAGCAAAATACAGATTATTGACAACTGTTTAAGGGGGTAAAAATTGCACCCATTTTTGTTGCTGACAAAATAATTGCTGTAGATGTAATGGATCTTGTTCTGTACCATACCTGTTGAATTCGCAGAGCAAACCCGTGCGCTGCCTTCAAACCCAGAACAAAGATGCTGCAAAGATCTTTTCCTTCTGCTAAATTAGAAAGGCTGAGGAAGACAAACTGTTCCCAAGCACTCCAGCAACCAATTCTTTCGTCAGACCATCATCTTTATTTAGTGCTTCTGATGCAGGCATGCGATGAATGTTCTTTTTGGAAAGATTAGTCTCTGCCTCTCATTTCTCTAGGTGACAACTCAAGAAATATAATGTACCACTGCTGGTTTCCTGCAGGAAGCATGGGAAGCTTCTCCCTTAAAAAAAGCCAAGGCACTAAAGGAGTAGGACAGTTTGGGAGGGTTCTTCTCAGTGATCTTCTGCATTTCAAGGTTGTTCCATGGTTTGAGGTAGTTGTTTGAGTGGGGTTTGATAGATGTTTGTCACTGGTGATGTGTTAACAGACGCTCGGAAAGAGAAGCATCATAATGATTTCTCAAGTTCTAGCTGAGTGTTTCAGGAGGTGATTGGGACATATGCACATAAATGGGCTACAAACATGTACTGAAGGGCTCTGCTGAACAGTGGCCCAAAATATTCACTAGGGAAACTGAATTTTGAAGTCTTTAAGATCTCAATTTTTAAGTTCCCCATGACCCAGCTTCAGTGAGCGCTTGAGCCCAGAACCCCCCCGTGTGCTGGGTGCACCCCCAGAGCGTGAGCAGCAGCTCAGGGAGGGGATCCTGCCCCTCTGCTGTGCTCTGGGGAGACCCCCCCTGCAGCCCTGATCCAGCTCTGGGGCAGCAGCACAAGAGGGACGTGGAGCTGTTGGAGCGAGGCCAGAGGAGGCCATGGAGATGCTGTGAGGGCTGGAGCAGCTCTGCTCTGGAGCCAGGCTGAGAGAGCTGGGCTGGGGCAGCCTGGAGAAGAGAAGGCTCCTGAAGGGGAGACCTTAGAGCAGCTCCAGTGCCTAAAGGGGCTGCAGGAAAGCTGGAGAGGGGCTTGGGACAAGGGCCTGTAGGGACAGGCCAAGGGGAATGGCTTGAACCTGCCCGAGGGGAGACTGAGCTGAGCTCTTAGGCAGAAGCTCTTCCCTGTGAGGGTGCTGAGGCGCTGGCACAGGGTGCCCAGAGAAGCTGTGGCTGCCCCATCCCTGGCAGTGCTCAAAGCCAGGTTGGACACGGGCTTGGAGCAAGCTGCTCCAGTGGAAGGGGTCCCTGCCTGTGGCAGAGGTTGGACCTGGAGGAGCTTTAAGGTCCCTTCCAACAGAAATCAGGCTGGGATTCTGTGGTTATTTAATGCAAATGCTCTGTAAAGGGGCCTACAAAATGTGGCATTCAGATCGGTCCATGAAGCTTAGGCTGGACTGGTGGCTCTCTCCTCAAAACCTGCTTGTGATGAAGGGAGGCAAAGAATTGCCAAGATGTTACTATAGACAGGTCACTGTTTGGTCAATAATTCTTACATCTGTGGGGATGCTGGTGTGGTTTTGGAGATCCCATTTTGCCTGAGCAGGTAAGTTGGCAGGTCTGACTACTTTGATAGGCTGTGCAGTTTTACCATAGGGATGGCTGCTGCTTTCCAGAATGAGCCATGAACTGCATATGATATTTGGGAAACACAAATGAAAACCTCCAGAACTCAGCCCTGTTACTGTTCTTCCATTGGAATCATGAGGCTCTTTCCAGGTCAGAAGAACTTTTAGCATAGCAGGGAAAAGCCAAAGACTTGTCGGTCTAGTTTCCATTCACGGAGCATTGTCTTTCACATTTAACCTTCTTCTTGTTCTGGGTGTACATTTGCTTTGGTCCCTAGTTAAGTTTGAGGGGTTTGAGTTGCTCTTAGATGTAAATCCAGCTTCCAAGTATTAAACCTATGAATTTTCCTTCTCAACTGAGGACCTTTTTCCTTCACCTTTATTTTCATGGATGCCAAATAGCCATCTCTTGTCTGAGAGCATTCCACCGTTGTATACTGCATTCTCCCAGATTATGCTGTATTTTTCCATTCCTTGTACTTTCTCACTTTTTCAGGAAGTTCACTGAGTTGTAGCTCTAAATTTGCACTGCAATCTCTTGTGGATCATATGCCATATAGATCTTTTTTGGAAAGATGACACATAACAAGCACAATAAAACATGTGAAAGGCTTGGGAAGAGGAGTTTATAGCAACTTCTGTGCCTGCTCTCAGGAGTAGGAGTTGCTTGGTATTACTTAGAATCAAAATCATGGAATGGTTTGGGTTGGAAGGGACCTTAAAGCTCCTTCAGCTCCAACCCCTGCCACAGGCAGGGACCCCTTCCACTGGAGCAGCTTGCTCCAAGCCCCTGTGTCCAACCTGGACTTGAACACTGCCAGGGATGGGGCAGCCACAGCTTCTCTGGGCACCCTGTGCCAGCGCCTCAGCACCCTCAAAGCTCACTCATGGCCTCACTACTTCAGGCCATCAAGTTGGTGTGTGGTTTGGGGAAGAGATGTCATGGGAGCAGCCTTACGTTGACACAGGGCTGCTCCGTGTTCTTGTGTTCTTCTACAGTCCCTCTTGCCTGTAGGAACCAAGGTAGCTAAGCTAGTTTAGTTCTGCTTCAACAAGGTAAGACCACAGAAAAATACTGCTTGGGAATAAGAATCCAGACCTTGCTGAAATAGTTCCTTACTAATGACACCTGGGATGTAAAAAGGATGGAAAATCAGTTGTGGAATACTTGTTTATACTTTGTTTTACACCAACAATGTTGTTGACTGAGTTTTCTATTTCCAAACTCCAACTAGCTGCTGAGCTATAATCATCCAGGGACCTGTGAAATATACTCTGCTGTTTCCACAGTTATTCCACTCAGTAGGAATATATAAATATAGCCAAGATTTGTATCATTATCATTTTCTAAAGAAGCTTATCTGGCCCATCTCCATGGTACTGCATTTATCTGAGCTTTGCTCTCTGCAATTCAAGTATCATGATTTTTAATGACACTTAAATTAAGGAAGGGCAGCCAGTGGTAAGTTAATGATGTCCATACTTAAATCCTCTCTAAAGAAGGCTGGTGGCTTGCAGTTTCACATTCACTAACATGAGCTGTTATGATCTGAGTGTAAGGTTTGGATGCTGATAAATTGATTTGTCTTTTGTCCTGTCCATTCCCGGTGGTGACTAACCATGATGCTGCTTCTGAAGCTAAACTGACCCATCACAAAGAGTCGGGGTGGAATAACGTAAGAGGGAGCTGCTTCCTGCATGGTGTGGTTTGTGTCAGCACTGGGACTGTGTGGGGCCTGATTTAGTTAGTGCCCACCTAAGTGAGGGCCATCTCAGTGTGTAGATAAATGTTCCTTTCTCTGGAATCAATACAGCTATTTCTGAAGGTTTCAGCTCTCTTGTTTTTGCCCCTTGGAGGTGCAGTGTTAAAGGACCAGGTGAGTAGCTGTCTTAACGTGCTTCAGGGTAAAATCTGTTGCAGTTTATAGTGAATGATAACTCAAGGTTTTCCCAGTTGTACTTGCAAGGCTTTCTCTTCGTGTTCTTAGAGTGGAAGCTTTCTGCGTGTACCTGGGAGTGTGGTGTTTTATTCACTTGTGGTTTATTCGCTTGTTTGTGGTGTGATCTTTAATCTCTTAATCTTCTCTTTCAAACTACCTTTTCTGTGTGCGAGTCAGGTAAGTTGCTGCATGGATCAACTCTCAGCATTTGGAGCTTCTGCTGTAATGAGAGAAGTCTTCGAAGCAAGGTCCTCTCCATCCCTACCGCCTGATCCTTCCACCTGCACAGGGAGTTGCAGAAAGTAGGGAAATCATAGGATCCCAGAGTGGTTTGTGTTAGAAGGGACCTTAAAGCTCCTCCAGCTCCAACCCCTGCCAAGGCAGGGACCCCTTCCACTGGAGCAGCTTGCTCCAAGCCCCTGTGTCCAACCTGGCCTTGAACACTGCCAGGGATGGGGCAGCCACAGCTTCTCTGGGCACCCTGTGCCAGCGCCTCAGCACCCTCACAGGGAAGAGCTTCTGCCTAAGAGCTCAGCTCAGTCTCCCCTCGGGCAGGTTCAAGCCATTCCCCTTGGCCTGTCCCTACAGGCCCTTGTCCCAAGCCCCTCTCCAGCTTTCCTGCAGCCCCTTTAGGCACTGGAGCTGCCCTAAGGTCTCACTGGAGCCTGTCTCCAGAGCAGAACAGTTTAAGGCACAGCTTTTTATACTGCTGTGTCAAACACATGCCGGAGATGCTTGAATCTGTGTAGTCAAATAGTGGAGTCCTTAATATAGCGGTCCTGATCCTGAAAGGATGATACAGATGTGGGACAATTTGTATGGTTAGACAAACATGGAAATGTAACCTAGTTTTAAAGAGACTTTATGAGCATAGACAACTGACAGGGAACTTTATTGGTTTTTTGGGATTAGTGTGTTATGTGGGACTTTACAATACCTTCTCTTTCTTGCAGCATTGTTACCAGCATTGTAAGCAATAAAAATCCTCATTGTGACAAACGTACCCGTTTTGATGGGAGAATGACATGATCTGTACCCGAGAACTGGAAAGTTCTGACAAGTTCTCACTGACCTTAAAGAGCAAATTAAAGCTCTGATGGTTTTCACTCACTGTCTCATTACTGTCAGCAATGGGCTGGGACCATAAAAATAGAGGCTTATTGCAGGTATTGTCTAGGGGGAAAACTGGCTTCTTTCAGGGCAAAGAGAAATATCAGTTATGGGAAACTGAAGCATTCTAATTAATTATTTTCTCATTAGTATAAAGAGCAGCTTTCTTTTCGTCCCTGTTTCACTCATATAACTGAGTTCCTTTCATTTTGGTTCTCCTTCATAACCATTAAAGTCAAACAACTCAAGTGCAAGGGAAACCCTTTCTCTCAAGTTGTTTCATACAGTGATAGTTATGGCAAAGCCAAGTGTCAGCTGTAGAAGCATCTCCATAACCCTAAAATGTCCCATAAAGCAGCGCTTTAATAGTGTGGAGTTTGTTTGGGTTCATCCAGACCAGAAGAGTTTTGGTGTGTCTCTGCTACGTGATGGCTTGGAGGCCGCCACAACTTAACATTACGTGCTTAGTTCAGGTTTGAGTATTTACAACTGGAAGTAAACATGGCTTTCTGTGTTGGTGTTTCTATGGAGCTATGAAGGGGATTCGTTTCATCAGTAATGCATTGATCACAAGTAGTTGACTTGTATGTGAGTTCTCCATCCTTGGACATTTTTGAGACTTGATGGGACAATCACCCTTGATGAGGGTGCTGAGGCGCTGGCACAGGGTGCCCAGAGGAGCTGTTGCCCCATCCCTGGCAGTGTTCAAGGCCAGGTTGGACACAGGGGCTTGGAGCAAGCTTCTCTAGTGGAAGGTGTCCCTGCCCATGGCAGGGGTTGGAGCTGGATGAGCTTTAAGGTCTTTTCCAGCCCAAACCAGGCTGGGATTCTGTGATTCTATGATTAGTTCCATTACCAGATGAGTTCCAGAGAAAGGTTGTGCTCACACATGGTGACAGACTCTTGATTCTTGACAACATGAGTTCCCTGAATTCCACCATCCAGGTGTGGGCAGGGTCAGGGAGTTACCCCCATAACCTACATGAATTCCTCTCTGTTTTTCAGGCTCCATGGGTCTGTGGTTTGGAAGCTGCTTCTGGGTACAGTCGTAATGGGGAACAGGACATGGAGCATTTCAAAGTTCCAAGTGACAGGAGATTTCAGAGTGACAAGCACAGACAATCCATCAGGACTGAGGAGCTTTTAGAGTCAAGCTTGACGCAAGCTGTGCCATTACATCAAGCTGATCCTTCTGATTGTTGCCTGCTGAAGGATGCACACATTAAATCCTTGAGGATTGTTCAAACGCCTACCTGCAACCAACGTCAAACAGGTCCAACTGGTCATTCTGCTGCTGCTGCTGAGCTTCACCCACCATTGAAGGTGGAAGGGGACATGTGTACAATGAGGTCTGCAGCTGCTTTTGATGCACAAACAGAAGCCCATTTGCTGTCTCAGGAGAAGCTGTTGATGAAGAAGTGTTCTGAAGATCTGGCCAAGCAAATCACTTCTATCACCTTTTCATCCCGAAAACGTTTGCAGTCACCATTGACTTCCATGGCACTCAGCAGTAGCTTTACTAGAGATGGTTTTGATGGGATAATGCCTTTGGAGGTTGACTGTGCTAGCACTGAGGAGCACAGCCACGACAAACAACACTGGGAGAGATCAAAGACCTCTCCTCCAAGCCCAATGCTTGCTGGCTCAGTGTCTAGTAAGACTGCTTATACTGCTGAGAAAGACAGGTTTCATCATGTCTCTGCTGACAGTAACAGTGTTGGAGCTCATCAAGAGACAGACTGTTTGTCAGATCAGGATTCTGAAAGCATCCATATTGATAAAAGACAGACCCTTAGTGCAAAGAATTCTGATGTTCTGCCTCAAGATGTGACTGACTCGGGCAGGCGAAGTGCCAGACTCCTGGGGCTTGGCTGTGAGAGGAGATTTGGTCAAGAAATGAATAGATTTAGTGAATCACGTTCCATAAGCTCTTGCCAGGAGGAGAAAAGCAGCCCAGCTGGCCATGTCCAGTTCTGTGAGAGCTTAAAAGGTTCAGGTCCAGCTCTACAAACTGATCTGATGAAGGGCCATGTTAAACTGTCAGCAGAAGAGAAGAACAGTCCTGATGAAGTACCCCTCATTCAGAAAGCAAGAGACCCAGTGGATGCATCTCACCACTCCTCTACAGGTGAGATTTTATCCACCACATCTGTATGTCCTTCCTCACCAACTAAGAAAGTATTGTCTTGTGTCCACATAACTCTTTCCTCAAAGTGTAATAACTCAGAGCTTCAAAGGGATGTGAATACTGAAAATGAGATGAGAGTATGGGGTAAACCTGGAGTTAAGACTCAACCAGTGTCTTTTAAAGCTCCAGAAGCTTCAGTAGAAGCTGTTTCTAAATTGTCATCTGCTGATCAAAGACCTTCATCTCTCCCCATGCCAGCATCTTCAGCAGATCCCTGCCTCATCCTCTCCTCTGTCACCAGCACAGCAGAGCAAGAGCTGCCTCCACAGGGCAGTTGGAGACCACAGGTCACTGTTCCAGGTTCAGGGCGATGTAGCCTGAAGAATGCCTTCAGCTCTGTAGCTCTTGCAAGCGCTGTGAAAAGCACTTCTGATGCTGCCACTCAGATAACAACAGAGAGTCCTGTAAAAACCACCTTTTCAGCAGAGATTTATGTTAATTCACAAGACAGTGGAAATGATGTTCACCAACCACCTCTCCAGAAAGCACATGAGCTTCCCAACAACACAGCTTCATCTCTTGACAAGGTGTCCTCTTTCACAAAGCAGGGTGGTGAGTACATGTCTCTTATGTACATCTTCATCTATCAAAGTCTGAGATACTGGAAGGAGCTTGGAGCAAGCTGCTCTGGTGGAAGGTGTCCCTGCCCGTGGCAGGGGTTGGAACTGGATGAGCTTTAAGGCCCCTTCCAACCCAAACCATTGTGTGATTCTATGTTGGTACCCGAGCTGGTCTTTTTACATCAGTGTTTGTCACCTTAGTCGCAGATTGAATATTGAATAGGTCAGTAAGCTGGTTTTGATAGAACAGTCAACGTTCTAACCACTGGTGGGTATTAAATAATGAAATTAAATGAATTAAAGAGCTAATAATGGTAATATATTTTCCTAAAGAATAGGGGATTTCTTCAGCAGTCTCCTTGGGTCCCAATTAGTTGCTTTCATCTTCAGTTTCATTTAAGGATTAAAGCCTGACTTGTGGTAATAGCTTTTTCTCCCATCCCCACAGATCAGCCCTTACTGCTGCCATATAAACCTTCTGGAAGCACTGGGATGTATTATGTTCCTTATCTAAAGGCAGTATCCAAAATGTCTCCAGTTAGATCAGAAACCAGCGTGGAGAGCTCTCACTCAGGTATGAATTTCATAGCATCATTTATCTGCAATTATCTTAAGTCTTCCAAGTGCAAACTGATGGTTGTAGCTCCTGAAACAAAATACATTTGTTTCATGTGCAGAAGAGTCTCAGTGGAGCTCAGAACTCTTCTGTCCTACCAGTTTAGAGTAAGTGCATTGGTTTTAGCAGTAGAATGTCTTTGTTCATGTTCACACTGTTTTATAACACAAAGCTCTATAAGTCCTGACTGGAGGCTATGGTTTCAATTGCTTTGATGAAAGGGGTGGTAGTACTCCATTCTGGCACTGAAAAGAAACACGGCTCCATGTTTTACAGCTTGCTAATGCTTTACTTTCCCCTGGGAATGACTATTCAGCTTGGACTCTTTCATATCTCTGCCAGTTCTTCTTTTTAGTTCCCTTATTTATGGGCATTTTCCTTCCTTTTTATTAATTTGGCATGTGTGCTGTCTGAAATAGCTGCATAATACAATATGCATTTCAGAGAACAGCTTTCTCAGTGCTGCATTTTCCCTGCCTGTTAGGGGATTCCAGTGTAGAAAGCTTTTCTACAAACAATATAACTCATAACTGTGATTCAAAGTGCACATTTACCTCTTCCCCACGTCCTCCCAGTAAAAAACACTTCTCTTTTACTGTAAGAAAGGCTGCTCAGTGATTCATCAGCTTCTTTTGCTTTGCCTGCTGTCTGTTATTTGTCAGTTCTCCCCTATACGTGCAGAACGCATCACTTAAGCATTATAGGTCTTACTTGTATGTTGCTTTGTGGCATCCAGACTTATTTGTAGACAAAACTAATATTGCAGAGATGTCCAGGTCCTGCCAGATCTGCCCTAAGGGAGTAGCTTGATACCACAGTGACAGTGAGTGCACAGGTTAGTCATAGCCACAAACTGTGCTTCTAACTACATCTATCTCCTCTTTATTATAGACTCACAGAATGGTTTGGGTTAGAAGGGACCTTAAAGCTCATCCAGTTCCTACCCCTGCCAGGGGCAGTGACACCTTCCACTACACCAGGTTGCTCCAAGTGCCATCCAGCCTGGCCTTGAACACTTGGACACTTTACCACTGGCTCTGTTGTAAGATGCTCAAAAATAAGAGAAACAAATGTGGTGTGAGTCTGTTGTTTTGCAGAAACTGTGCTACTAGATATAAAATTTCAATATGCATCAGAGGCAATGCAAGGTTCTAGAAAACATACAGCAGAATTTAAACATATCTTTTGTCTTTTAAACTCCCTGCTCCAGTTGGGATTCTCAGCTCATGACTGGTAGCTGATGGTAATTGAGTTAAGCTCACTGAAGTAACCAGGTGGTGTTGACAAGGAGGATAAATCAGTTTGGGACCATTTTAGGAGACAGCTATATGATAGTAAGAGAGCTCTGCTGCTGGTGGCTTTAATTCTTGTTTAGAGGTTATACAGCACTCCTGTTGTCTTCCACTTTTCCTCCATTGTTATTCTGAGCCCAAAAAATAGATATTTGCATCAGTCAGAGAATATGTCTGGAATTTTAATGTCAGCAGGAGGGAATTTGGACATTTCAAGTCCTGTATCTGCCTTTCCAGCAGACTAATACTTATTTTCTTGTGTTCTACTCTGCTCATCAACTGAACAGATAAAACTTATTCAACTCTTACAGAAAAACCTTATAATAAATGGCTTGACTAATAGAATGGTTTGGGTTGGAAAGGACCTTAAAGCTCCTCCAGCTCCAACCCCTGCCACAGGCAGGGACCCCTTCCACTGGAGCAGCTTGCTCCAAGCCCCTGTGTCCAACCTGGCCTTGAACACTGCCAGGGATGGGGCAGCCACAGCTTCTCTGGGCACCCTGTGCCAGCGCCTCAGCACCCTCACAGGGAAGAGCTTCTGCCTAAGAGCTCAGCTCAGTCTCCCCTCTGGCAGGTTCAAGCTGTTGTCACCAAAGTCCATGTAAATCAATGTGGCACAATACCCATTGCTTCTGTATGACTCATTAGAACTGCTCACAAGGGATCACGACTGTTGTCTGGTGAACATCCTGGTGCTACTACTCGGATAACAGGCTCTATTAGACCATGTCTTTTTCCTGTTTCCTGTTTTTACTCACAGTTCCTCCAAGAATTCAGGCAAATGTGCTTGGTTTAAGGGTTGATAATCCTGACACTATGGCTCTCAACCATCAAGGAGGAATCTCCAGTAAGAGGGCCAAGCCCAAGTTGGCCTGGGCTGAAGACCAGATGATGCCACCAGATGCTCCCCTAGGTAGTTAAAGTGTGTTTAATGTTACATGTGTTTTCATATACATGAAAGAATGTAGAGCAGAAGAATTACATTTCAGCATCCATGACTATGTTCTCATGATATGCTGATAGTAGCCTCAAGATGCTGAATGTGACTCCGTTTTCTCTTCCCCATCTTTCTGCTTCTCCCTGACTGCCCAAATATTTGGACATTAGTATTTGCAGGCACTCCTGTGGCCTTTATAAGACATTTTTGGGGTTTGGTGGGGTGTTGGCTGTTTTTTGGGGGGTTGTAAAGTGCAAAATCTGTTTAAAATAAGTGTAGAAAGGATGCTTTTTTTAGAAAATAACAGGAATCCCCTGGTAAATAAAACTAGGATATATATATATAGGATTTGTCTATCTTATTTATAGGGTAGATATAGGATTTCTTTAGGATAGATAGGATTTGTTTATTGTATTTGTAGGATATAGGTAGGATTTGTCTGTGTATTGAATCACAGAACCATGGGATGGTTTGGGTTGGAAGGGACCTTAAATCCCATCCATCTCCAACTCCTGCCACAGGCAGGGACCCCTTCCACTGGAGCAGCTTGCTCCAAGCCCCTGTGTCCAACCTGGCCTTGAACACTGCCAGGGATGGGGCAGCCACAGCTTCTCTGGGCACCCTGTGCCAGCGCCTCAGCACCCTCACAGGGAAGAGCTTCTGCCTAAGAGCTCAGCTCAGTCTCCCCTCGGGCAGGTTCAAGCTATTCCCCTTGGCCTGGCCCTGCAGGACTGGGGTTGTGTTCTTGCCCACAAATACACTGATGTGATGTCATGTAAAGTGTCTCTGTAATGTATTTAGCTGAGTTTTAATTTGATTTGTCTGATGTTTCTGTCTTCCTTTACTACATTGACCTCGTTGGATGGTAATCCTCATGGATGAAGGTTACAGTCACTACTATAGTAGCCTACTTAAAGGCTTTACTTGTTGAGAATGCTGACAGAATGAAATCACACTGAGCTAACTGGCGATGTGGATGCTGTATGTCCTGACAGCAGCTATAATTAGTCCTGATTGCTCCTTCTTTTGTACAGAGCCTCATTCCAGGATTGAAAGTGGCCAATAAACTTCCTTGAGTCTGAGTAGGGATGAGGACTGTTGTGTTTGAGAATTACCTCTTGTTCCTGGACAGAGGTAACTGTGAACTGAAGATTGCTGAGGGATTGATCCTCTCCTAAATGCAGTTATTGATTCTTCAGGGAAGCTGTTTATGGCATGATCCAGTATTTGTCAGCATGCACTGTAGTAAACAGCGAGCAAATTACGAGGAGGTAATAATACAACTGTGGCTTTACTGAGGGATGGGACTGAAACATGAACAGGATAATGGGTTCTGAATTACAGAGTTCATGCTCTCTTGTATGCAGTCACATACGAAGGGGTTTGGGGAGCCCATTTATTATTCTTAGTATCATGTAAACTTATTTGGAGAACATTGAACAAAACAGGTTTTCACTGAGTGCCTCAGTGTGGCTGTTGTTGCCCTTTTAAAGCAGGTACCTCTTTAGGTAAGGGCACCCCACACATGTACTGATAGGGATTCCTTTTGATGGTTTGAATTCTTCACTTTAAAAGGGGTTTTCTTTGAAGATTTTTCTCTTGAGAACAGAAAGATGTTAATGTTTCCAGAAAATAATGTGAAAAAGACACATTGAACTTCATTATTTTATGTTCATTTTACTGTTTTGGTAAGTGTACACATGACCAACAGTTCAATTAGTGTGACAGTGAAGACAATATTGTTTTAACCTAGGTTTTCTAATGGAAGAAATAATTCTCTGTGAGCACTTACAAAATGCAAGGATACAGAAATCACAGAATCAGATAGGTTAGAAAATACCTTTAAGATCATCAAGTCCAAGCATAAAATAAGTGGAATAAGGTACTAAAATGCAACAAGAATCTGCAGCAACAAACAAAACATCATGTTGGAGCAAAGATCAATGGATGCATCTCTCTGAATAGCCTGGGTAAAAAAGAAAGGGGGCCACAAGTGTTAATGTAAAATCATCTAATAGAATTTTACAGTATCTGTGATGGTCTGAAGACACAGCCAGGAAAGGAACTGTGAGTAGAAAGAACCTTCTGTTAAAGCGGCCACTACAGTTGAAGTTTTAAGGAAGCTTTCTGAAGACTTGAATGTCTGAAATCTTCCCTGACTTCTTCAACTGTATTTTTAGATGGTCTAATAAAAGATTACCTCTACCCACAGAGCTGGTCTAGAGCTTAAAATCATGCAAGTTATGGGCTTATTTTAATGTTTCTCTCTATAAACTTATGTTTTGCTTCTTTGCATTCCTTCCATTTTGTTGGGAATGTTAAAAAAAATAGAGAAATGGCAAAAATTCTGCATCGTATTCCCAAGCCTGAGCTCATTTGTCAGGAGGCCATAGAGGAATCTTCTTGCATCAGCATATAAACATTGACCTTGTATGGGCAGAAAAAGTCCTCCAGTTTCAGGGTTAGTGAGGCAGGGTCTGGTTATGCTCTTCATGATCTTGGCATTACACTGGACTGTCTCTGTGTGGGACAGGGAAAAGATGTTTAGAAATATAAGGAAACAAGTAATTGATCATAGAATCCCAGGCTGGTTTGGGTTGGAAGGGAGCTTAAAGCTCCTCCAGCTCCAACCCCTGCAGGGCAGGGACCCCTTCCACTGGAGCAGCTTGCTCCAAGCCCCTGTGTCCAACCTGGCCTTGAGCACTGCCAGGGATGGGGCAGCCACAGCTTCTCTGGGCACCCTGTGCCAGCGCCTCAGCACCCTCACAGGGAAGAGCTTCTGCCTAAGAGCTCAGCTCAGTCTCCCCTCGGGCAGGTTCAAGCCATTCCCCTTGGCCTGTCCCTACAGGCCCTTGTCCCAAGCCCCTCTCCAGCTTTCCTGCAGCCCCTTTAGGCACTGGAGCTGCTCTGAGGTCTCCCCTTCAGGAGCCTTCTCTTCTCCAGGCTGCCCCAGCCCAGCTCTCTCAGCCTGGCTCCAGAGCAGAGCTGCTGCAGCCCTCGCAGCATCTCCATGGCCTCCTCTGGACCTGCTCCAACAGCTCCACGTCCCTCTTGTGCTGTTCTGATGTTATTAAGTAAAAGGGCAGTTTATGAGAAGTATTAACAGTGTGAATCCATTCAGTTGTAGCCCTTCCTGAGCTTTTCTTGTATCACTTTCCCACGTGGCAATGAGGTTTTGTAAAACCGTGGCTCCTGGTGAGGTAGGTTGGTCCTTTCCTTCTGGCATAGGGGGGAGGCTCCATGTGGGGCTTGCCATCCTTCAGCTGAATCGGTGGCAAAGCTGTCTCAGATGAAAAGGTGCTTTCCAGTTCTGTTGTCATCAGTGGCTGACAGTCAGGGAAACAAGACTGTTTAACACCAAACAGCAAAAGTCCAAACAGGAAAACAAACCTGGGAGGAAGGTTGGAGACCTGGATTAAAACCAGCGTGAGCATGATCTCTGCCATTAATGCAGCCTGGTACACGCTTGCTGACAGCTCCCGTTACCTTGTCACTGCTGTTACCATTAGTAAATAGGCTGTTCTTTGTACTAACTTTTCAATTTATATTAAAGCTACTAGTACTCTCTGAGGCATCTTTAAATCACATACTTGGCTAAAATGGCATGGGATGTCTTTCAGTAAGCACAGAGACTTGGAAGGCCTTGTGGTGCTAGCATCTATAATCTCTACTTTCTACCTGCATGGTTCACTATATGGTTCAGTCCAGTATACAACAAACATAACTTAGAACACATTTTACCTTTTAAATGTGATTTTTAATGGTATATTAGAAACTATTTCAGAATTATTTAGGAGTACATTCCTGCTAGCACATGCTGCATACTGATTTCATGTGTATCTGCTAGAAATGAGTTTATAATAGCATTTTCTTTGTAATTTCAGATAATAGTATATTCTGGGGGGATTTCACAGCTACTTTGAGCTAGGATGTGTCCTCTGAGCTTGCAAGCAAAGCAGGGGTAGATCTTGGCATGTGCTGTCTTGAAATGGTTCAAGGAGCTGTGGAGGAAGTGGTATTGGTTGTACTCTCTATATAGTGCTTTACTGAGTTAGTTGAGAGAGAACGTTCAGGTGTAGCCTTAGGGGACATTGTGCTCCATGGGCATTTGTCTGAAAAGGGGCAGAATGACTTGTGGCTGCCTCTCAGGAGTTCCCATAGGTAAAGACTCAGATCAAGTTTTGGTCAAGGTAATTACTTGTGGTATAACTGGATTCCTCCTTCAGATTCACTTGGATAGAATATTCTCTTAGATTCCATGTTACAAATGATATAAAATATTGTTCATGTACTTCTAATAATGCCAAAACTTCATTTCTAAGTTTGTTGCATTTGGGAAGGGGTGCAGTGATCCCTGCTTTTATCCTTTGAAGTGACTGGGAATTGTTAGGATGAAAATCAGCCTGGTTAAGATTTGCCATTTGCTCTTTGCTTCACTGAAAAGAAACAGATTCAATTGTTTTCTTCTCTTCTAGAACACACAGAGCCTGTGAAAACCACTCATAAAGCCTCCAAATCTGCACGGTTCTACCTTCACCCTCCAGTGCCCTCCTGTGAGAGCTACATCCTGTCTAACAGTGAGCTATCAGAAGCCAGTTGTGGTGCTGGACCTGCCAGACCTTCCTCAAGTGCTGTCCTGCAGAATAGGAGGAAACCACATCGTCCTCACTATGTTTTCTCTGCTCATCATAAAAAAGATGGTGAAAGTGAATTTTTTCCACTCACTGCAGAAGCAGATAACAGCAGGAATGAGGATCTAGACATCAGCACATCTTTGGGGAATGAAACATCATGGAAGGAGCTCCTTCACCGCAGTAGAAAAGAAGCAGAACAAAAAGCAGCTAGAACTCACCCTTTGCCACGTAGCCAAACAACTCACCTCAGTGAGGATGGGGAGAAAGACCTGGCACAGAGACAGAGAACCCACTCCAATGGTAGCTTAGATGAGCTCTGGGTTAAGTTCCTGGAGTGCCAGAAGAGACACCAGCACTATAGTTCTAGGAGTAATGGTGAGCTGACCCTGGTGGAACGCCTGGATCGACTGGCCAGGGTCCTTCAGAATCCCCTTAAGCACACACTGGTACCAACAGCATCTGACAAGAGTGTTTCTGAGAAGGGAATGAAGGGAAGAGAAGAGGAGAAAAGAAGAGTGCCAGAAAAAAGCATGTCTGAAAGTACCTCTGAGCCTGATGCAACACATGTTGAAGGGAGACCACGCATCACCCATGACAAAAATAGCTTTGTTGAGCTGAGGAAAAACAGGTCAGGAGAGAAAATCATCTGCCACATGAAGAACATTTTGGAGCAGCAGTACTTGGGAACTCCAAGCGACATCTCCTCAGAGGCAAGGCTTAGTGGAGATCATGGCACCACGATCACTTCCACCACCTCAGAGTCAGATACAGTGACCCAAACAGAGATGGAAACTGTCACTCAGACTGAGGTGAGCAGCTCCATTTCCACCATCGATACTGCCAGGCTGATCAGGGCTTTTGGCCATGAAAGAGTTGAGGTGTCCCCAAGGCTCTCCCAGCTTTATCATACCATCAACCACCAGAGAAGTCGCTCTGAAAAGTGGGACAAGGGCAAAGCAGTGCGTGTGCATTATCCAAAGGTGACTTCTGAGAGGCACAAGAAGAGGAAAGAGATGCAGGTATGTGGTCAGATGGACCTAAAGACAACTTGAACTGATCTTTACAGGAACTTCTCAACTGTTGTGCAGTGGGAGACTTGCTTATCTGGGGAATCATTTTAACTTCCCAGAGTGGTGTTGGTATCACAACCTCCTGTCTTTGGTCTTAAGTAGCCCAAATAAGTGTTTCTGCCTTCCCAGGAGTGAAGTTGAGGTCAAACTATAGAATCTTAGAATAGTTTGTGTTGGAAAGGAGCTTAAGGTCATCCAGTTCCAATCCCCTCCCATGGGCAGGGACACCTCACACTAGACTATGCTAGCCACACTGCCAGGGATGGAGCGTTCACCACTTCTCTGGGCACCCTCTGCCAGTGCCTCACCACCCTCAGAGGAAAGAACTTCTGCTTTATATCTAACCTGAACTTCCCGTGTTTCAGTTTGAACCCATCACCCCTTGTCCTGTCACTACAGCCCCTGATAAAGAGCCCCTCTCCAGCATCCCTGTAGCCTCCTTCAGACACTGGAAGCTGCTCTGAGGTCCCCATGCAGCTTCTCTTCTCCAGGCTGAACAGCCCCAACTGTCTTAAACACAGTTCTTTCTTTCAACCCAAACCATTCTGTGATTCTATGATGTTGGTGATTCCTGTGATGCTTGGCTCGACAGAAATCGATGGTTACTTAGTTGTAGTTACAAATACGTGTGATTAAAGATTGCTGTTTACTTCCAGTGAAAGCTCTTCTCCTCAGAGACCACTGTACCATTCCTTTAGGCAAATGCTGCATGTTAGAGCTCAGTTTCTGACAGCCTATTGTCAGCTCAGCTTCCCAAAACCTCCGTTACAGCTTGCTTTATTTATAGATGCTGAACCCATCATCCCAGAAGGATTTTTGTCTATTCCAGTTTCTGTTATTTCTAAAGCACTCTTCAGGCTGCCATCTGGTAGCAGGTACAAAGCTAAAGGTTGAGCTATTCAACTGCTGAAGGGCTTTGAAAGCACTGTGCTGAATATTTGAGACCAAATAGAATCTCTGTGTCTGTATTCAGCACTGAATGGCTGCTCATATTTATTTCTGAGGCTGATATGCATGTAAATAGGTTAGCTGGGTGTGTTTTTCCATGCTTTCTACTCTTTTTTTCCCTTTTGCTGAGCACATACTCAAATCTGCTTCTGTTCTCTGAATGACACAGATCTACTACATCTGTCTACTGCACTCTACTAGTGCTGCAATAGTTATCTGAAACTAAAACCCCAGTTCTTTACCAGGGCAGGAGAGGACAAATTGCCTCTTTTTAATGCTGAAACAAACCCCTGTGTGGCATTGAAGTGCTGCTAGCAGAGGTTCTATCAAAAGGTAATCAAAAAAGCCTCTGTTCATTTCTGTGTGATGAGTTACTAACAGGATACTAATTGCTGTGCTCAAGGAATGAGAAAGTTAATCTGTTTCATAATTAGAGCCTAGATCCAGTGGAGTTGAAGAGGTGGGGCTGTGCTGCACTGTTGGGTTTGGAGCCTGGGGCAGCACTCACAGTTAATGGCTGTTAATAAACCACTCTAAAAGAGAGAACCAGAAAGCCTCTGGATTAGATTAGTATGGTATTACCCTTAGAGTTTGTTCCTTGTGAAATGGCTGTGAAGTTGAAACATGTCCCTGCTCATTGCAGGGGGGTTGGACTAGATGATCTTTGAAGATCCCTTCCAACCCAAACTGTTCTGTGATTCGATGTCATACAATCTAATTTCATGTAATGGGTTTAGAATCATAGAATAGTTAGGGTTGGAAAGGACCTTAAGATCACCCAGTTCCAACCCCCCTGCCATGGTCAGGGACACCTCACACTAAACCATGGCACCCAAGGCTCTGTCCAACCTGGCCTTGAACACTGCCAGGGATGAAGCATTCACAGCTTCCCTGGGCAACCCATTCCAGTGCCTCACCACCCTTGCAGTAAAGAACTTCTTCCTTATATCCAATCTAAACTTCCCCTGTTTCGGTTTGAACCCATTACCCCTTGTCCTGTCACTACAGTCCCTAATGAAGAGTCCCTCCCCAGCATCCCTATAGCCCCCCTTCTGATACTGGAAGCTGCTCTGAGGTCTCCACGCAGCCTTCTCTTCCCCTGGCTGAACAGCCCCAACTTGCTCAGCCTGTCTTCATACAGGAGGTGCTCCAGCCCCTGATCATCCTCGTGGCCTCCTCTGGACTTGTTTCAACAGTTCCATAGAAGCTGTGGCTGCCCCATCCCTGGCAGTGCTCAAGGCCAGGTTGGACACCGGGGCTTGGAGCAAGCTGCTCCAGTGGAAGGGGTCCCTGCCCATGATGGCTGGGGTTTAGACTGGGTGAGCTTTAAGGTCCCTTCCAGCCCAAACCACTCTGTGATTCTATACTTCCTTTTGCTGTTTAAAACCCACTTTCTGTTCATTTTGGTTGGTATTCCATCAATTTCTGTTCTCTTGCATGTTGTTTTTCTAGACTGCCATCTCCCTTTCATCAGACTCAACTTCTATAAGCAGCATGTGGGGACCCAGCTCTGCTCTTAGTAACAAGCGGCGGACGCGGATGCTCAACAAAGGTATCCAAGCAGGTGAGTTGTTGAATTCTAGACTTTTTTGTACTTGATTCTGCCTTTGATCTCTTTGGAAACTGTTCTCCAAAGTCTGGTGCATGTTTCTGGTGATGGGTACATACAAATACCGTTCTTCAGATGCTTTTAGAGAAAGATGTGTTGTAATCTGAATGAGCCATTTCATTTCATTCCTTGGGCTGTTGCTAGTAGCCAGTTTTGTCACTTAGCAGTTTATTAACCCAAACTCCTGACCCATTTCAATAGCAAAGGTGGACCAAGTGTATGTTTTCTATATTATTTTCTCCACAAGGCATCTGTTACACACAGAATGTATTTGTGGGCATGTGCTATTTCTGAAGGCAACTGCAGTGTTTCTTATTCTTCTTGGTGATATTTTAGTTGTTATATTCTATTTAAAACATAAGCTGATCCTGGGCTGGTGCAGTGCTGCATTTGGGTTTCTCTGGTGGCAGTTACCAGTTTCTTCACTGCTTTCATTTACACACCAACATCCCATCATCAGATTGAGCAATAGCTTTGTTCTATTCATCATACACATCCATTAGTTATTTATTACTGCTTCCTTTCCCCCATGTGCATACAGATTGAATCAGAAAAGTCTTTTCATGGCTTGTTTTCAAGATCGTGTTACAACATTTTCCATGTTAGTTGACACCTTTCCACTTTCTATGCTTGTGTTAAATATTTGTGGTGGTGTTTCTCTTAAATATTTGTAGTGCTGTGGGCAAAACAACCTTCTGTAGCTAAAACACAGTTTTGATGGGACACATTGGCTAAACTAATGCAGTTCCATTGTCCAAAATACAGAGCTCTATGTTGACCTCCCACTTTGTCTTTCTGCAGCAGATTTGAAGCTGACTCATAGAGTCACAGAATAGTTTAGATTGGAGGGGACCTAAAGCTCATCCAGTTCCAACCCCCTGCCATGGGCAGGGACCCCTTCCACTGGAGCAGCTTGCTCCAAGCCCCTGTGTCCAACCTGGCCTTGAACACTGCCAGGGATGGGGCAGCCACAGCTTCTCTGGGCACCCTGTGCCAGTGCCTCAGCACCCTCACAGGGAAGAGCTTCTTAGTATCTGATGTTTCTGTTTCATTTTCAACTACAGGAGACTTGGAGATCGTCAGCAGCGCCACCAAGAAAAACACTCGAGATGTTGGGGTGACTTTTCCTACCCCGAGATCAAACCAGCCAAAAGAACAGCCACAGGAACCCTGGCGCTGTGTTGATGGTAATTTGGGAGAGTCAGATGGTGTGGTCACAGCTCAGCAGGCAGGAGGGAGCAAGGGGAAGCAGAAGGGAGAGCCAGGCAATGTTTTCATGGAGAAAAGGACAAAAAGGAGCAGGCTGCAGTTACCACAAGGTCAGTCCAACATACACTTCCTCTGCACACTAGGAAGGTTGTACAGCTCAACAGCAACCAGCAAGATCTGTGAGACAGAGTAGTCTGTCCCTAGTACAGTAAGTCCTTACTCTGGTTTTAATCCATGATATTAAGCAAAACCACTATATCAGGTACATTATTATAATGGTATTTTCAGTCAAGCTGTTAGAGGCCACCTGGCCAGTAAAAATAGTAAAGAATGAGCAATACATAAGGAAAGATGAGTGAGATGGGAATCATGCAGGTACTTAAGTTTGATTTGCAAGCTATAAAAGGTTCTGTTAACCTCTGAGTAGTCACTTACTGTTTCCTGTCCTGAGGCTTCAAGGGACAAGTACGTTTTCAGGAGTACTTGAGGCAAGACTGTGGTACCAGAACCAGCCTCATCCCCCTGTTTCAGCTGGAGCTGTGTTTTCAGGCTGATGCTGTAGCCTCCTCCTGGCTTTTTTTTTTTCCTTTCCCCTTTTAAATTTCCTGTCAGTTTTCACAATGTCATAATTAAATGTTTAAAAATATTTTCCTTAGTCATCACCGTTGTTGGTGTAGGGACAAATCATTCTCTTTCATACTGGTTTCATTTAGTACACTTAGAATATCTACACGGAGTACAGGCGGATGTATTCCAATCCCATTATGTGTGTAAACTGCGAGTAATCTAATCCTTGCATACGTATTTAACATTTACAAGATGTAAAGCATTTCATCTCCACAAACACCTATAAAAAGCCATAGGGCTTAGGACAACAGAGAGGCTCTTATAGATGTCTAATTGCTGATGAGCAGCTTTTCTATAGAGAGCGACTTGCAAACTAAACCATTTTGGCCTTTCCCACAGTGCTGTTTGGTAAAGACTCACTGGTTTTCTGGCACTTGGCAAAGGAATTCTTTTCATACTGCCCAAGTTGTCCAGTACAGAGTCCCACTGTTGTTAAACTGAAGGACTCACGGCGGTGTAGTGTTAGGCCACTGATTGGGTTTAGTTAAAACCTTGCGTGTTGTGGTTTAAACCCAGCTAATAGCTTAAGTACCACAGAGCTACTTGCTCACTGGCCCCCTGGTGGGATGGGGAGAGAATCTAAAAAGTGAGAAAACTCATCAGTTGAAATAAAGACAGTTTAATAAGCAAAGCAAACCAAGGAATGTGTTCATTACTTCCCATCACAGGCAGGTGTGCAGCCATCCTCAGGACAGAAGGGCTCCATCACCCATAACGGTGACTTGGGAAGACAACCCACATCACTCCCAACATCCCACCCTTCCTCCTTCCTCCCCCAACTTTATATGCTGAGCATGATATGATCTAGAATATCCCTTGGGTCATGGCTGTGTTTCCTCCCAAGTCTTTGTGCCCCCCCAGCCTCCTTGCTGGTGGTGTGGAGTGAGGAACAGAAAAGGCCTTGACCCTGGGTAAGGCTGCTCAGCAATAACTAAAACGTCCCTGGGTTATCAACACTTTCCAGCACAAATCCAGCACACAGCTCCATACCAACTACTGGGAAGGAAATTAATTGTACCCCAGCCAAACGCAGCACAGGCATAAAGGGCCATAGATGAGGGTGGAAAATAAGCACATGTATTGTCTGCAAAGCTTTATTCTCTTCTGTGGTCTTTCAACAGGGATTTCATGGTTTGTCCGGGCAGGAGATTTGAAATCTGAATCTAGGAAAGAAAACCATTCCAATTCCTTTGCTGGTCCTGGTCCGTCTTGGTTTGAGCCATTCACCAGCACAAAGCCTTGGAGAGAGCCTCTCCGGGAGAAGAACTGGCAAGAGCAGCAGCACAGCAACATGGTTCAGGCCAGAGTTCCAGGAGGAGACCCTGAGAACAGGTCCACATGGCCCTATGTGAAGCTTACTCTGCAGGTAAAGACACTGCACTGGAAGGCTGCTGGGATCTCAGTGGGATTTCAGGAGTTAGGCTGAATCTTGTGGAAACACTTGGTATCCCTGCCCCTGCAAGATGGGTTGGAACTGGATGAGCTTTAAGGTCTCTTCCAACCCAAACCATCCTGTGATTCTATGATGCTTTTTTAATTATTTCACCATTAAAATAATTTATACTCATTGGAAAACCAAGAAGTTCATCAGTCCTTTTTGCCAATGGTAGTATGGCTTTCCAGAATATGCTATTGGAGCCATGGAGATGCTGCGAGGGCTGGAGCAGCTCTGCTCTGGAGCCAGGCTGAGAGAGCTGGGCTGGGGCAGCCTGGAGAAGAGAAGGCTCCTGAAGGGGAGACCTTAGAGCAGCTCCAGTGCCTAAAGGGGCTGCAGGAAAGCTGGAGAGGGGATTGGGACAAGGGCCTGTAGGGCCAGGCCAAGGGGAATGGCTTGAACCTGCCCGAGGGGAGACTGAGCTGAGCTCTTAGGCAGAAGCTCTTCCCTGTGAGGGTGCTGAGACGCTGGCACAGGGTGCCCAGAGAAGCTGTGGCTGCCCCATCCCTGGCAGTGCTCAAGGCCAGGTTGGACACAGGGGCTTGGAGCAAGCTGCTCCAGTGGAAGGGGTCCCTGCCCGTGGCAGGGGTTGGAGCTGGAGGAGCTTTAAGCTCCCTTCCAACCCAAACCATTCTATGGTCTGTTAATGGGCTTAGAGACTGCCCTATGAGGGAAATTGAAGTGTGGCAAACAGAGATATGGGGAGATTGCTTTCAAAAGTTCACTTCTGATCCAAACCAAATTGCTAATGTTGATGTGCCACTGATTTAGACAAGCGAGATTGTAATAAGTCACTGAATCTCCTATCCTATGGGATTAACTTTTGAGTTTTTTTTGAGAGGATGTTTGAGTCCCTTTTGCTAATTATTTTAGCATTTTCTCTTTCTGGTCAGCTCTTTGTCAATAGCCAGAAAATGAGTTTGTTAAAGGAGGTCTCTGAGGATCTACCGAGCATTAGGGCTGCAAGTTGATTGTGTTTTGTACAGGATAGTACTTTGATAGGCTTTGTTCCATGCTTTGGTGATGATGTTAGACATCATCCAGCTCTGGGGAGACATCTGCCCACTTGAGGCTTTGTTTTGTGTCATGCCATCGTAGGAGGCTCTTGCAGTGCATCGCCCCGACTTCATCTCCCGCTCTGGAGAGCGTGTGAAGCATCTGAAGCTTGTCATGGAGGAGAGGAAGATACAGAGCGTGCTGCAGTCCCAGCGGGAGGAGCTGTTTAACCCTCCAGAGAAAAGAAGGGGCTACAGGAATGCAAGCAACATGCTGTCTGACAGAGGTACCTCTATGTTTCTGCTTTGTACCTTCTACAGGAACCAGTGACTTTCCGCATTAGACTTAAGTGTGTGTATTTTAAATGAAAGTATTACCATTCCTTAACTATAAGAATCCATAACTTCTACAGGAGTCATATTCCTGCAGGAGTGTTCTTTGTGAGGTTTGTTCACCATTTTCCTCTCTCAAAACTCTCCATTTAGGTGTTCTCATTAGAGGAAAGAGAAGAACAATTCCAAGGAGTGAAATGGTTCAAAGATCTAAACGGTGAGGTTAAGAACGTGTTGGTTTGGGTGGTCTCTTCATCAGTTTTGGTTTGGTTTGGTCAGTCGTCAGGGACTGTAGTGACAGGACAAGGGGCAGTGGGTTCCAACTGAAACAGGGGAAATTTAGGTTGGATATAAGGAAGAAATTCCTACTGTGAGGGTGCTGAGGCACTGGCACAGGGTGCCCATAGAAGCTGTGGCTGTCCCATCCCTGGCAGTGTTCAAGGCCAGGTTGGATGAGGCTTGGAGCAAGCTGCTCTAGTGAAAGGTGTCCCTGCCCAAGGCAAGGAGCTGAAACTGGATAATCTTAAGGTCCTTTCCAACCCAAACCAGTCTGTGTTTCTATGATGCTATAGGTAAGTGATCTGGGTAGTGAGATGGATGAGTTGTATCTGAAGTCCAAGAATTGGTCTGAGGGGTAACTCTAGCTTTTTCCTTGCAAGATGTAGGCATCTTATCAGAAGTGTGTGGGGAGAAGCTGCAGAGTTTGGCTGGGGAGGAGGAGGGTGAAGGTGAGGATCTGGCAGCAGTGATTCCCTCCCAGAAGAGGTATTGAGCAAGGCAGAGGAGGACCATTCTTGGAGGTACATGGTGATAGGACAAGTACTAGTGGTGATGTGTTACAGTAAAGAGAAGTTCTAATTGGAGACAGGGAAATCAGTTCTTCCTGACGAGGGTGGTGGTGTGCTGGACCACAATCCCACAGAGCCGGTGGAGCCTGCATCCTTGGAAACAGTCAAGTTGATGGGATGAGGCCTGAGGAACCTTATCTAGATGGGGAGTTAGCCCTGCTTCAAGCAGGAGGTTGGACTGTGTGACCTCCAGTAGTCCCTTAACTTCAGTTGCACCCTGTCTATTGGGATTCACAATATATAAAATAAACCCTTATGATGGGAGAGTCCAGGATGCTTTATTTCAATAGCCTTTGGCATTTAAATATACTTATAGGATGTCAATAGAGAGCTGGCAGAAGTGGTGACTATGGTAAATACATCAGTTCCCCAAGGAACCTCCACATCTTTAGCTGAAGTAGAAGGACTCAGGTGCAGGTCACTTGGACTGTGAGGTGGATGGAGCTGAACTTGTATATTTTAGGAAACCCTGATTTCATAATACCCCAAATGAGCAGGATTTCTATGGAGACTGGTTCAGGCAGTCTCGCTTGGTGGCTCTCTGTTCGTGCTGCTGTCATGCTCCAGCTCTCAGTTGGAGCTGAGAAGTAATTTATTCTATACCATTCTTCTGCAATCCACACACCTCTAATGAGGGCAGAAGCTTTGCCTTGTTCTCTCTGAGGGTATAAATGGAATTTCTCATGGCAAATTACCTACAGGCAGTGAAAACAAGTTTCAGTTAACTTACTGCAGTTCTGCATTGCCTGCTTCTTGCTCTAAACATCCTTATGGTGGGATGGGTTGAAAGGGGTTCATCTTGATCCTTTTCACCTGGAGCGGTGAAAGCCTTTAGGGAATGGTGAGATGGTATTAAAGCAACACCACAAATACTGTGTCCAGAACAAGCTGGAGGTTTTTGTTCTATTTGCCTATTATCAAAGCAGCATCTTTAAGAAATGAGTTATTATAAGATGTGCCTTGCTTTAAATATTACAGGACTGACATTTTTGGACATCATTCATTTCCACCTCCTGCAAACCGCAGTGTTTTTAAAGCTGCATGTTTCTTGGCAACCACTGCCATGAAATTAGGGAAGCTTTATGGTCTTGAAGGAAGATTTGGGGAGGGCAGTGGGGGCGATACAGTGCCATCCTCGCCCTCAGGTCCCTTCTTCATGCGGTAGTCCATGAAACAGACTGGAATGACACAGCTTTTATTCATAGAATCATAGGATGGTTTGCGTTGGAAGGGGCCTTAAAGCCCATCCAGTTCCAACCCCTGCCACGGGCAGGGACCCATTCCACTGGAGCAGCTTGCTCCAAGCCCCTGTGTCCAACCTGGCCTTGAACACTGCTAGGGATGGGACAGTCGGCTCCAAGCATTCCTTGCTGTTTGGCTCTGGAATGGGAGGATTTCAGTGCTGGGAAAGACAAAGCCTTCACCTAAACAGGGCAACACTGCTGAATACTGAAAATAGAACTAAAATCAGGTTATGCATTGTGATAATGATGTTGCTATTGATGGATGAACATGGTGCTCAGGATCAGGATAACCAGGCGCAAAGCAAGGGCTGCTCTGTACTGCAGACAGGAGCTCTACATGGGTAATCATACAAGCAATATGGTCATTGTCATGTGTTATTTGCTGCTTTTAGGAGGTACTACTTGTGATAGAAAGGCATTATGGGATGTGGGAATTTCCAGTATCACAACTGCTACATACTCCACAGTGGAGCAAGCTGCTCTAGTGGAAGGTGTCCCTGCTCGTGGCAGGGGTTGGAGCTGGAAGAGCTTTAAGGTCTCTTCCAACCTAAACCATTCCATGATTTTCCCTGTGTGACACTAGTTAAACCCTCAAATGAATATTTCTATGATGTGGGTGATCAAGAACCTACAACAGAATATGATGATAAACCAGAGGCTGGTTTAATTTATACATACATATATGTATATATATATCAAAAAGTTCCTTTAAAGTCACTATTTTTGTCCTTTTCACACTGCAGGATCTATGAGCAGCTGCCGGAGGTGCAGAAGAAGCGAGAGGAAGAGAAGAGGAAAAAGGAATACAACTCCTATCGCCTGAAGGCCCAGCTCTACAAGACAGTAGGTGTTCTGCTCAAGTATTTACACTGGAGCATTCTAGACCTTATTTTCAGTTCACAAACATTATAGAGCTATTTACTGCATCTCAATTCTGTGGTATTGCTTTGCAGCTTCTAGGTGGTTAGGATGTGTTGGCATTGAATCAGGGTCAAAGCAGTCAAGCTTAACACAACTTGGAACATAAAATCCCCCTGTAATCCTTTCCATACACAGGGTGTATGGAGAAAAGACAAGGAAGCCTGGTCCTGATTAAAGGGTACAAAGAAGGTCAGGTGGAGAGTCTGGAGGGCAGCACAGAGGGATGATAGAGCGTGTTTAAAGAAGGATCATGCTTCCTTGAACTGAAGGTTGCTGGTTTTGCCCTTAGGTGTAAGCTAAATCCACCTATAGCAAGAGCACAATTAGAATAAAATAAAATACTTAGGATTCGTAAGGACCAGATCATCCAGCTCCAACCCCCCTGCCATGGGCAGGGACACCTCACACTAAACCATGGCACCCAGGGCTTTGTCCGGCCTGGCCTTGAACACTGCCAGGGATGGAGCATTCACAGCCTCCCTGGGCAACCCATTCCAGTGCCTCAGCACACTCACAGTAAAGAACTTCTTCCTTATATCCAATCTAAACTTCCCCTGTTTCGGTTTGAACCCATTACCCCTTGTCCTGTCACTACAGTCCCTAATGAAGACTCCATCCCCAGCATCCCTATAGGCCCCCTTCAGATACTGGAAGCTGCTCTGAGGTCTCCATGCAGCCTTCTCTTCTCCAGGCTGAACAGCCCCAACTTTCTCAGCCTGTCTTCATACAGGAGGTGCTCCAGTCCCCTGATCATCCTCGTGGCCTCCTCTGGGCTTGCTCTAACAGTTCCTTGTCCTTTTTATGTTGAGGACACCAGAACTGCACACAATGCTCCAGGTGAGGTCTCAAGAGAGCAGAGTAGAGGGACAGGATCACCTCCTTTGACCTGCTGGTCGCACTCCTTTGGATGCAGCCCAGGATACGGTTGCTTTCTGGGCTGCAAGCGCACACTGAAGCTGGCTCATGTTCATTTTCTCATCGACCAGCACCCCCAAGTCCTTCTCCTTGGGCTGCTCTGAATCTCTTCTCTGCCCAGCCTGCAGCTGTGCCTGGGATTGCTCCAACCCAGGTGTAGGACCTTGCGCTTGGCATGGTTAAACTTCATGAGGTTGGCATCAGCCCACCTCACAAGCGTGTCAAGGTCCCTCTGGATGGCATTCCTTCCCTCCAGCGGATCAACCGAACCACACAGCTTGGTGCCATTGGCAAACTTGCTGAGGGCACACTCAATCCCACTGCCTATGTCAGCGACAGAGATGTTGAACAGCTAACTTCATAGCCATGGCTAACAAAGCCTGAGCTGTCATTCCTAATTCTGATCCAGTGGGGAACTGCCAGTCCTGGTGGGAATTTGTTAACTCTGGGGCCTGTGGATGTCACCATTAAGTGTGCATGCAGCTCGTGGTGTGATCTTACCACACTGGCACCAGTCAGCCAAGGCACTCTGCCTGGCAAGTGTAGAATAAACCAGTTTAGCTCAGCATGGTGTGGCTAATCTTGAACCACAAACACCCAGCAGTTCCAGGGTAATCTCTATACTGGGGCCTCACCCCACAACCAGCAGCAGAGCAAAGGTGTGGGGTGAGCACTCCAGGGTTTTTGGGAGCAGGAGAAGCAAAGAGCAGGGCCCATTTTGCTGTGTTACTCCTGAACTCTGCTGAATCCTGCCTCGTACTGCCGATGAAGCAGAGAGAGCCCTGCTTCTGTCCCAGCTAAACTGCTGCTGCTGCTCTTCCTCCCTGGTTGTCCAGGCTGTGGAACACGTGCTTTGTGTCTTTGTGTCTGATTAATGGCAGAAGGATTGAAGAACCCCGTGCTAGAGACTCATGGGGGTTAAGCACATCCAATATCAAGGAAGAATCTTCTGTCCCTGCGTCCTCACACATCTCTTTATCTACTACTTCTGTTTATCAAGCAGTATCCCTTTATACACAGTGATGTGACAAGTGCCCTGATAAAACAGAGGAGGCCCATTTGTTCCTTCTGAGAAGTGCATCTCCAGAGCTCACCAGTGTATCACTTTTTGAGCTGTTCCAGGCATCCATATGCTTAAGCTTTCCCTTATGACTTTTGTTAATGACCTAAAGATGAGAAACAAGGGTTTGCAATGCACACACTGAGGTTTTAACCTGACTTATCTTCTGGCTTTTTAACTAACCCATGCACCATAAAATGTGGCCTTGTAGCATGCAGTAAACTGCATTATAAACCTTAGTGGTTAAAGGACAGACATTAAAAACCAAATCTGATTTCTTTTTCCTTTGGATCTTAAGCTGCACTTCATTTTTACCATTGCAGCGCTTTCCTGGCTGAGATGTCCTGCCACAGCTGGGATAATGGGGTTAGTTACTTGTTGGGAACAAATTGGATTTGTAAAGCCAGGGATTGTAACACAATGCATTATCCAGAATACCTAATCCAATTATGAGCATTTACCACTAGAATGACTTGATTTTGATGCTATGCTTCTGCAGGGCGTATTCAGGAGGTGGTTTTTTTACTAGTCTGAGAATCTCAGATGCTGTAAAGTCTTAAGGGTTAATGAATGCTGGCAGGCATTGACTTGAAGTAGCATAGTCAGCTGGAATCAGGAGTTTTGTGTGTAAGTATGGTTTTGATTGGAAGAGGGCTGTTGATTCAGTGCAGTAAATATTGTAATCCCTTTGTCTGATGCAGAATAGTTGTAGTGAGTAGCTGTAAATGCAGTGAATGGGCTGCTTAGAATTTGGTTAATGTGTTGCTGAGAGCATCAGTTTTGAAGCAGATCTGATTGTGCAGGAAAGAAAGCGCCACAGATTTTGTGGAATGATTCCAAAGATGACACAGACTCTTAGGAGAAGAAAACAGCTGGTACAAAAGCTGGATAAAAGCATGTATTCCAGGGCGGTGTCATTGTAATGATGTGTAGTGCTGTACCCAAACTGTGAGCTGAGTATCTCTCAGTGGCAAGTTGGTGAACTGCTGATGTAGAACAGCAAGTCCATCCTCTGGGCTATATCTGGCTGCTGTTTTAATTGCAGTCACCTAGAGGAAGCCTTGTGCCTCATCCAAACCTAGCAGGGGACAGCATCTTCCAAGATCATTTGGCGTATTCTGAATCTCATTACTTATGTTCTCTGACTCTCACTACTCCTGTCTTTCACTCTCAGGTCAGTGCTTAGTGGCATGAACTGTCCTTACTGAAACTTCTGATGCAAAGGGTTAACCGATGTACAGGGGGAAAGGTCAAGCTACTTGCTTAAGCGTTGTTGCTTGCTCATGCTTATCATACTTGCAATGTACATGGGGGTAGATCAAGCCACTTGCTTAACAATGTTCATGCTTATTGTACTCGCCATATATGCTAGAACAAGATGTAAGGACATGGCTGTTGTTAAGAGGTAGGGACCATGACTTGATTCCCGTCCTTTGGACACCTAGGCCAGCTGAAGTTGGCTCTGTGGTTTGGGCAATGACCAAGCCTCCAGGGAGCATGTGTAGTGACTAGGGGTGAAAAGTTCAGGCTCGAGGAAGACTCATTTACTTCATCTTGAGACCCTCACCCACGACCACCAGGAGGCACTGCGCAGGCGCAAAGGACTTCTTAACTCATTATACTACAAAGCGGGGATAGCACATAAATATGTATAAGCGTGTTGTGCAACCTCATAGAATCATAGAACAGTTTGGGTTGGAAAGGGCCTTAAGATCATCCAATTCCAACCCCCCTGCTTTGGGCAGGGACACCTCGCACTAAACCATGGCACCAAAGGCCTCGTCCAACCTGGCCTTGAACACTGCCAGGGATGGAGCATTCACAGCCTCCCTGTACCCAGGGAGTGCCTGTACCCATTCCAGTGCCTCACCACGCTCACAGGAAAGAATTTCCTCCTTATATCCAATCTAAACTTCCCCTGTTTCAGTTTTAACCCATTACCCCTTGTCCTGTCACTACAGTCCCTAATGAAGAGTCCCTCCCCAGCATCCCTATAGGCCCCCTTCAGATACTGGAAGGCTGCTCTGAGGTCTCCACGCAGCCTTCTCTTCTCCAGGCTGAACAGCCCCAACTTTCTCAGCCTGTCTTCATACAGGAGCTGCTCCAGCCCCTGATCATCCTCGTGGCCTCCTCTGGACTTGTTCCAACAGTTCCATGTCCTTTTTATGTTGAGGACACCAGAACTGCACACAATGCTCCAAGTGAGGTCTCACGAGAGCAGTGCATATATATAACTTTGGAGGATAAATGCAAAGGGGAAATGATGCTGAGGGGTGCATGTTTTTGGAGGAGCTATCCCCCATGTGCCTCAGCGCTGAATAAAGCATACCTACTTTATAACTTCAGCGAGTTGTGGAGTCCATCCACGCATCACTTCTCTGTGGCAGGGGGTTGGAACTGGATCATCCCTTCCAACCCAAACCATTCCATGAATCTATGAGTGCTTTCCCATCTCCATGATGGGGAAAGGATGTACTTGTGTCCCAGGCACTCCAGAGTGCAGTTTAGCAGGTTGAACTGCTGTAAAAGTGTGTGCTCAGACATCCTGTGCTGGAGTGCTTGAGGCTGCACTCACATTTGTTTGGGTGGCTTTCTGCTGTGAAAACCTTCATACCTGGCAGAGGAGCACTGATGAAACAGCAGGGGAGGTGGGGATGTTTCTCTGCCTTAGTAAAGGAGGATCTGAGCCCTTGTGCCATTCCTGAGCCTTTTCCATTAGATTCAGTGAGTTTGTCAGTTTTGTAAATAGGGAGCATGGGAGAGAACACCATAAAGGAGATAGCAAAGTTCTGTGCTTGCCTTTACCCCTTAAAACCCTAAGATACGAGCGTTCGGCAACGTTAACCCCAATCATGGCTATCCTTTAGAGCCTATTCTAGACTGGAGCCACAAGGTGTCACTACCCCAAAGGGAAAAGCCCAGGCTTCTAGAGGCGTGGAGCTGAATTGAGTTCTGCTTCCTGTTTTACAGTGCTTCTTCATGTCAATGTTTGTTTTTCATCCCCTTGGCTACACGTTCCCTCCTGTCAGCAACACGTTGGGGTTTACTGATCTGTAGTGGCTTCCTGGAGGGGAAAGGGGCGAGATAGAATCTGATTCTAGCAGGTTTGCTTATTAGATTGCAAAGGAGCTTATGAGCTAGAAGGACTGATGGGAGGTTTTGTGGCATGGAGGGGTTTGAGCCCTTTTGAGCCTTTGTGAAGTACTGGGGACAGATTCCATACCGCAGTTTGTGTGTCTATAGACAATGTGTATGTACTATATACACACTGCATGCTCTGCATGTGGGTGTGTATAGAAAAGCTCAGCTGCCTGTTGCATTCATCTCTGTGATGCAAAAGGTCCCGTCAGATAGTGGCTGTGATTCCCGAAGCTGTGAGTAATGTATGAGTTACCCAATGCTCTTACTTTATCTTTCACTTCCCTAAAACCATGTTACATGTATTCTGTGTTTCAAAACATCACTGAGCTGTGGGCTGAGCTAACGGAATGATGTTGTGGACTTCAGCCAGGCCAAGTGCAAGGTCCTGCCCTTGGGTGGGGGCAATCCCAAGCACAAACAGGTTGAGGGATGGAGCAGCCCTGAGGAGAAGTATTGGGGGTGCTGGGTGAGGAGAAGCTCCCCATGACCTAGCTTCAGTGAGCGCTTGAGCCCAGAACCCCCCCCTGTGCTGGGTACACCCCCAGAGTGAGAGCAGCAGCTCAGGGAGGGGATCCTGCCCCTCTGCTGTGCTCTGGGGAGACCCCCCCTGCAGCCCTGATCCAGCTCTGGGGCAGCAGCACAAGAGGGACGTGGAGCTGTTGGAGCGAGGCCAGAGGAGGCCATGGAGATGCTGCGAGGGCTGGAGCAGCTCTGCTCTGGAGCCAGGCTGAGAGAGCTGGGCTGGGGCAGCCTGGAGAAGAGAAGGCTCCTGAAGGGGAGACCTTAGAGCAGCTGAAGTAGTGAAAGGCAAAACAATGCATTAGGGTTACTGAGGGGAAGAGTCTGTCAGCAAGTGTCAGGGTGTGTTCTGACTTTTGAGACTTGTTTCTCACCATCTGACACTGATACCTTCTTCAGACAACATCATGTGCATTGGTTTTAATGCTTAGAGGATTAATACTCATCTCTCACTTTGGTTTTATCTTGCAGAAGATCACCAACCGTGTCTTGGGGAGGAAGGTGCCTTGGAACTGATAGAGATCTCTTCAAATGAAGTTGTGTGCTGCTTGGTAACCTTGCAGCAGGCGGGAGATTGTGATGTGCCAGAGATAAAGCAGTAAATACGTGTGCAGAGGATGCTGTGTGGTATTCAGTTGTGGTGGTTTTGTACTAATATCATCTCTCTGTAGCAAAGAATCAGTGATTTTATATGAATGGCAGGTTTTAAAATAAAGGACTGTTTTTATAGTGATGTGCACTTCGGGAGTGAACAGTTTGAAACTACTCGGCTCACAATGTGTTTATAACTGATTGTAAAGCAGTTTTATACATATTTATTTCAAATTGGTTTTCACAGCTTTGTAGGGTTTTTATTTCCTCTCTCAATGTAGAAAACACACTTGTCATGTTTTGTACTGAAAAGCCCCTTAAATAAACAACAGATCTCTTTGTAGCAGTCATTGCAGCGATCATGAATGTATCTTTGCGGTCATATGGGCAACATCTGGGATGGGACCACCTCTTACTCTGAAGAAAAGCTTAAAGGTAACTGTAATGGCTGTTTAAAGGGGACATGAAACTGAAAGGGTGGAAGGTTCAGGACTTCACTGCCCTTTCACTTGGTTTTCTGTCTTTCTGTATGAACCAGGAGGGTCTGATCAGAGAATACGTTTGATGATGGGGAGCTTTAAACCTCGCCTGGGAGAGTCCCCTTTGCTCATTCCGTGTTTGCATTCTAGCAGTATTCTTCTTGTACCCTTAACTAGCATCTCAGGGGCAAAAGATGATATATAAAGATTGTGCTTCTCGGTGACAGCAGCCTGAAGTCTCACTTTCAGTTGCTTATCACAATGGCTACATCTGATGTATAAACAGGAAAAGACATCTGAGGAGAACCAAGTGGGTGCGAGCAGTGGTTTCCTATTTTCTGTACTTCACATGTGCACTGCAGTTCGCTTCAGGGAGCAGCTGTAACCAGTGGTGCACCCAGTTCTGCTCAGGGGGAGGCACAGCTCGGAGAGTTTGATCTTATGTTCACTAAGGATGTCACAGAGCTGCTTGTTTCACCCCTTGGCAAACAGCAGTGGCTATGATCCAGCTCTGCCCATCACCTATCATTCACATTGGGATGTAAGGCATCAAGTCTTTAAATGATGGGAAATAATATGATTCCCTTAAAGATTAATAGTACTACACTAGATTATACTAGACAATGATTTGGCAGAGTAGTGTTTGAACTGTGGCCTGTGCTGGTGGTGCCACGTGGTATTAAAGCCGCTCTTATATTCCAGCCCAGAGTCAAGTGTAAGATTCATATTTTATATGGGAGTGCAAAACCCCCACCTACCACAAGCCCATGATTTAACTATCAGAAAGCCATAGCTGCTCTGGTCTTAGAAATCTGAAGTTGAAAGTGGAGCTTATAACTAATACAGCATCACATGGCTGTGATAGATCAGCTCAGGGAATGGCTTATGTCTTCTCAAACCTCTTCTCAAGCTGTGCTCCTTCCACTCTCTTGTCCTTTGGATGCAGGTCAATGCTTTGCCTTTCAGAGGCAATTTTGGGGCTCGAAAGCAGCCCTGCTGAAGCAGAAGGTGCTAAAACCTGGTGGTGCTGAGATTTCTCCTGCAGATTCTCTGATATCCATATGAACAGACTCTTTCCTTGCTTCAAGAAATCCAGTTGTCTTGGAGTCCTGACAACATCTTGCCTCACTGAGTGCCTGTTTAAAGCCAGTTAGCTGCTTAAATATGCTTGTAAGCTTTCAGCTGATGAAAAAACAGAGCTTAAGGGCCCCGCCGGTGCCTCAGGGGATGCCTGGAAGTCTTCTCACAGGCAGATAACACAGTTCTGATGGTTGTTTGTATTGAAATGTCCCTCCTGTGCCTGTTGCTCCCTAACAACAGCAGAGAGGCCACTAATCAAGAGCGTTGCAGATGGAAGAAAGGCAGAGGCAGTCCCTTTACTCTCCTTGAGCAGCACTCAGCTGAGAAGGGAACTCTTCACTGTAAACCCTTCCAAAACAAAGAGCTGCTGCGGGGTTATTTAGTGTTTTACCTTGCTTAACAGTGTTCACCAAGTACCAGAGTTACCCAACAGCCATCCTGTGAGTTAAGAGGGGCAGCTTGAGAGCTTTAGCAGCAAGTAATTCCTCCCTTGGTGATAATACTGTAGCCTTCTCCCTTCCTGAGGGTGGAAGTGTTTGCTTCTGTTAACGTTTTTCTGCTCAGGCATGCTTTAGTAGATCAGTATGTGATGTGGAGATTGGGCTTGGATGTTTTACACTGGTCTGGGGCCTCACAAAGAGTTTACCCTCTGCTTTCTGACATCTAAAGCAAATATTCTCTTTGCACACAGGGAAGAAGAGAGTTTTCTAGAGGAACAACGTGAGATTGCTTGACTTTTCTCCCCTCAGAAGAATGAGCAATTCCAGAGGAAATCGAGGGAACATCAGGCCAGGTTTAAAGGATGCAGATCTCAGCCCTGGGTTCTCCTCCATCCTCCTCTGGATCTCTTCACGAGGGATGCTAGCAGAGCTGACTCACCCCCATTCCTCGTTGTCATCAGGTCAGATAAAGCTCCTGCTGGCTGCAAAGCCTCCACTGTTTATAGTTCTATGGAAGGAGACTGTTGACATTTGGAGTCAGTGGTTCCAGCTCTCAAAACCTCTTTCCAAAAACTCAGGAAATTGTGCTTTTCTTGTGTGGATTCCAGCCTGGAGTCATCTCTTCTTCATCCACTGCTGCACAAAGACTTTTAGGGTAAATCTGCCGATCTTTGGAAGCTGAAAGAGGGCAGAACTATTCCTTTTAACCCTTTTGGTCTTGGTTAAGCAGAAATGGTCACTGCTCATTCATACCTTGTTCATCATCAGGCAAATGCAGTAACAGCTCTTTGGCTTTGGATCACCTCTAGATGTGCTGCCTGCAAACTGAACTTGAGGTGAGAAGTGTGGTGGATGGGTGGGTAGAGGTGGACGAGGTGCGGAAACAGTGGAGAAAAGGGGTGTAAAAAGCCACCTAATGCTTTGACAAGTTCCTTATTTTAGAAGAAGAGGCTTATTTATGCTTCAGAAGCACCTTTCATTTCCTCTTTCATGACTGTTTTCACTAGTTCTACCTTTGGTGCTGTAAATCCCATCCTGACGGACCTTTTGTAATGGCATAACAAGTCCTGTGGTTCTTGGTGGGTGTTTCTGGAGGCCTCTCTATGAGGAACCATCCTCAAGCAAGAGATCTGCCACATCAGGCTCAAATGGATGTTGTCTGGGACATGTTCTTTCATCTCTGGTAGCTGGAAGCATTGCCATGGAAGCCAGTAGCAAGGATGATGCCATCCAGAGGGATGCTGAGAGGCTGGAAAGCTGGTGTGAACCTCATGGAGTTCAACAAGGCCAAGTGCAAGGTCCTGCACATGGACTGGGGCTATCCCAAGCACTGGCACAGGGTGCCCAGAGAAGCTGTGGCTGCTCCATCCCTGGCAGTGCTCAAGGCCAGGTTGGACACAGGGGCTTGGAGCAAGCTGCTCCAGTGGAAGGGGTCCCTGCCCATTGCAGTGGCTTGGAATTGGATGAGCTTTAAGGTCCCTTCCAACCCAAAGCATTCCCTGATTCTGTGAACTTCGTGGAAGTTGGCTGCAGTACGTAGTCATGTTACTGTACATCTGTCTAAGCATGGCCTGCTCCAGAGTGGCTCATTCCTGGAAGACTGCTTCCCAGAAGGATTTCTGCTGTGAGTGATAAATCTGTTAGTGGCTGTGCCTGTAGGAGAACACAAGGAAATGGAGTCTTTTAGTCATTGCCCTGTTCTATACAAAAGCCAGGTGAGATGCTCTCTTCCACTTACCCACCCTGGTTGATAGCTCGCTTTTCCTGAAACAATGAACCTAATATAGGAATTACTTCCCTATAATCCAGATCAGACTTCATAGAATCACCGAGTAGTTAGGGTTGGAAAGGACCTTAAGACCATCCCGTTCCAAGCCCCAACTTTAATCCAGGAAAGATGCTCTTAATATACCTCTTCCTTTAGGCTGCGTTTCTCAGTTGCTCAGCTTGGAAGTGTGACCTGGAGTCCAAGTGGCCTTGGGGAAGGAATTCTCCCAAGCTGCTGTAAATGGAAAAGCTGGGACGCGTTCACACAGGCAAGGTTTGAAGGTTCAAGTTATATTGCCATTTTCCTCCCTCCTTCAGCAGATAAAGGGGATTCTTGGAGCCAAATTGGACCCTGCGGGAGGGTGAATGGCCTCTGCGTGACAAATGAGCTCCGCGTTGATTAATACGCTTCTGGAAGGCACCCAAATTCCAGGCTGATGAGGACAGTTGGGAGAGGTCTCGACAGGGGAGAAGGGCTTTAATGCAATCCCATTTGAGCCATGCTCTGTTGCTTTCTAGCTTTATCAGGAGCTACTTCATGATGGAAAAGAGTCGTCTTCCCAGAGCTGTGTTGGATCCATAATCCCTGCAATCACTTGCACCCAAAGGAGCGTGACCAGCAGGTCGAAGGAGGTGATCCTGCCCCTTTACTCTGCTCTTGTGAGACCTCACCTGGAGCGTTGTGTGCAGTTCTGGTGTCCTCAACATCAAAAGGACATGGAACTGTTGGAACAAGTCCAGAGGAGGCCACGAGGATGCTCAGGGACTGGAGCACCTCCTGTATGAAGACAGGCTGAGAAAGGGGGCCTATAGGGATACTGGGGAGGGACTCTTCATTAGGGACTGTAGTGACAGGACAAGGGGTAATGGGTTCAAACCAAAACAGGGGAAGTTTAGCTTGGATATAAGGAAGAAGTTCTTTACTGTGAGGGTGTTGAGGCACAGGAATGGGTTGCCCAGGGAAGCTGTGAATGCTCCATCCCTGGCAGTGTTCAAGGCCAGGTTGGACAGAGCCTTGGGTGCCAGGGTTTAGTGTGAGGTGTCACTGCCTATGGCAGGGGAACTGGGTGATCTTAAGGTCCTTTCCAACCCTAACTATTCTATGAGTCTATGGTCTGACTTGCTGGCCTCTGCCAGGTCCCATTGAGTCATCTGCTGAGTAGCCAGCCCCCAGCTGCCTCTGGAGAGGAGTAAGTCCCTTGGCCTCCGAGGTAACCACTTGGATCTGGAGGAAGCAGCATGCCAGCCGCATGATGGGGCCTTGAGGAGCTGAGTTCCTGTGGTTGTGTCCAGGTTGTGCAGTCACTGTAACAGGACATTGGGTGACATTTGGTCTAAGGAGGCTTTTTGAGGGGTTCTATCAGGGCAGAAGTCCC